ATTGACAACAAATGAAGGTTGCTTGACTTGTATCTTCACAAGTTAATGGCACTGATAACAGAGTAAATTCCCTCATCTTCATCCTCAGCTATTTTAATAACAGTCCCTACAGTGGGCTGTCCCAGAATTAAGTTGACGAAACCACTCAAATCCCACTGCTTATTATCTAGGCAGGTCTGCAGGAGAAGCTTCACCCCGTGAAAGTCATCAGGTTTTGGGTCAAAGAACTCAAAGTCTGCTTGGACAATAGTACCCTTTCAAATAAATAGGAATGTGTCAAAAGCATAGACAAATCATGACTACAAAGAACAAATAGCCTGTCAAATCTTAGTTTCTTACTTCAAACTCTTCATCACTGGAAGAATGAGAATGCAGACTGTTCTTGCGTCCTCCGAGTGTCTGTTTTTGAACCCCATTAACTGGAGGCACAAATTCAAGCAGTGAGATTTCAACCACCAAACTACTCTTTATATACAAATTGCTAGGAGAAAAATACTGCACCTGGGGAGTTGGGCAACTTTTTTTCCTGCAGTCCCTTAGAAATGTGGGGGTTGACCTTGCTATATGAGGTATGATTGGCCACATATTCAGCAAATGGAGAGAAACCAAATGGGCTATATCTTGACAAACGGTTTTATGCTGCATTATAGTTTGTATTGATCTAGTAGCCCTGAATTCGAAACACCAATCACAAACATGTCATTTCATGCAAACTAACAGTGTCTATACAATATACAACTATACAAATGGCCAAATATTAATTGGTTAACTTGAACAGTAAACCAACTAACTGACCCTATATGATAGCCACAGGGCTACCTAAGATTGTAAGAAAGCTAACCCCCTAATCACTGATAGGCAACTGGAATCTAAGTATACAGCAGTAGGAATAATCCAGGGCCTCAGACACAACTCGGATACACACATGCTCTGGTGGTGTAAGGAGAGAGCCTAGAGATAGGTGCAGATATGGCATTTGAGTCTTTCCAGGCATGGGCGAGATGCACATCATACGGAGCAAGGCCAGTCCTAAAGAAATAGGTCTAATGGAATACGAGAATAATGTTCAATTCGACTGAATACATAAAAAATCAATAAATCATATAATGGTGCATTTGTATAACTAATTCAATAAGTCTGCTGATTCTAACCCAATAAGAAATCAAGCGTTATAATCACCAACGCACCAGTATTTTCATTTACCCACAACTACATTAAAGTACCAGTATTTCTTATCGCGAAGAGCTTACATATTGGCTATGTCAATCCTGCTACAAGCTTAATTTGGCTATTTTGTTCAGAGAAATGGTCAACACCTCTGCTAAGGTTTTTGTTGATCATTTTTCTCACTGCATAATATGAGATCTTCACAGAAGTCGTATTATGGCCTAATTACTTTATCCTAAAGTTGATGTTCTCCATTCAGGTTCTAATGAGTTTTCAATCCCGCAAAGAACGTTCCATTGTGTTGTCATTGATCTTAACAATGGTTGGACCCAACACCTAGGCATTAGACACTCAATTGTACTCTGTTAGACAGACGACTACATATTTTTAACCACCACATAAGATAACATCATCAAAACCAACGCGAGTATTCACACATCAAGATCAAAGTTGGCCTTGAATACTAACAATGCTTGGATCCAAGTAATCCAACACATAGGCAGTAGACACACTCAAATGCATCCCCACAATGTACCAAACAAGTAGCCCAAAATCCTCACAGCCTCATCAGAGTCACAATGAAAAAAAGTATATATTCCCCCAAAAGTTTATATAAAAATATAAAGAATCATATAAAAGCTAAAAAAATTTATATAACACATACCATATGAATTTTAATATATGTGCCTAATGATTAAAACTACAATTTCTATTTAAAAAAAATATATCATATCTAAAAGCTAAAAAAAATTTATATAACACATACCATATGATTATTATAATATTAAATAAATAAAATTATACGTAGTATTTTATTTCAAAATACGGGATATAATTTCATTAAAATGTTAAAAATTTTAAGAATGTATATGAGTTCGTGCAAAGCACGGGATTAGAACTAGTGCTTTAAATAATCTCTAGGAATGCAATGTAATGCTCTTTGTAAGTTTCCTGATTTATATAGGGGTTCGAACCTTGAGCTTTTCCTAAATACTCCTTGAGCAAAACAACACCACCCTGAACATTTTCCCTGAAAAGAAAAAGTAGAGAAGTGTTTAGCACTCCTATATACCTATACATATTGATTATTTTCCACACTAGAAACTTCAAACATTAGATGCAATCAAACAAGCATTTTTATAGAACAAATTAGATCTAAAACACTTCTTTTAGGAAGAAGCAGAAGAATGTGAGTATGTGCTCAGTAAAGTAGTCTATCCAAAATATAATGGCTCACCCAATCCGCTTTATTATTCTTTGCTGTATAATTCTTCCCAACAGAATACGTAGTTAATAAAAAATGGCCTTGCAGCTACCTTTAAAAATGGAATATCTCTCACCTTTGTAAAACTGTAGCCAAGAAGTGCATTGCGATCAGCTTCAATTGTCCTCATCAGTGATCTCATATGCATAAAGCCCAAGATTCTTAGTGCCAGTTATAAGATGCTTCTATATTTCAGCTTTCTTGAAACTACAGAAACAGTTTCATGAATCATGAATCGGAGGAAAATTCGCATTTCTGGAGGCTTTTTCAATCCTAATTAATGGAGGTAGTCTTCAGTTCTAACCACCGGATTTTCCCCTTGAACAAAAAGAAAAGCACTGTGATCTTCATTCGTCCTCATCCGTGATCTCATATGCTAAAATCCTATTAAGAGGAAGTCCAGGACTTCTGTTACTCACATTAAGCCCAAGACTCTTCGTGGCAGTTAAAAGACGCTTCCCAATCTCAGCTTTCTTGCCCTTGCTTGAGACAACAGAAACAGATTCACTGGCCAGAGGAACACTTTGTATCACTGGAGGGATTCTCAGAGAAAATGGAGGTGGTGTACAGATATCAAATCCGAGACGGTTATCTTCAGTCTTAAGAAATGGATTTTCTGTTTGTTCGCCTTCAACTTTTGAATAAGAAAACACCGAAGTTGAGTTAACCTCATCATAAGAAGAGAAATATTTCGTAATAATGCCCGAGACTGACATGCTTTCTGATAATGCATCATAATTAAATTTCTCATCCGACAAAATATGCGGCTTATCTATTGAGCATGAAATCGCAGCATTATTTTTCCTAACTCTTTTCCTTTTACTATTATGCAAAAAGAAGAACCACCGAAAGTTGAAGTGTGACAATCTATTGCTGATTAACCTTTTCATCATCATCCTCCTCCTCCTCCTGCTGCATCTTGACCGGGGAGTGCTTGTAAGAAAAATCTCAGGTTCACCATCCGTTGAAAAATCCTTGGTAACTTCAGGAGACCCAATCGGGTCAGCAATGCTAGGATTACACACCCTAACCTGCAGAAACCAATCTCCTTTAGTGTGCTGAAAAGCGTGCTTTAAGGGCAGAGTATCAGATAAGTGGTATAAGTTCGATTTCCTTTGGACCTGTAACAAAACATAACAATAGTGAATACAAATGCCATTAATGTTGGGTATGAGTAATATTAGTAATAAACTAATAATCCCATAAACTGTAAAGACAACAAAGAAAACAGTCAAGAAGAACATCAAAATATACCATCAACCCATTTGCCACAATTTCTCCATGTTCAGGGAAACAATTCAAGTGTGCTCTCTCAAATACTCCTAAAAAAACATCAACACATACTCATTACACCATCATGAAACCCACAAATCATCATTTGCAACGTATTTCGAGCCATAAAGCTCTTCTTAATTAGCATCAGATGTCCAAAAACCAAATTGCGCATATCAAAGTGCAGACTGTTCTCTCTCAATTCCTCTAGCAAATTAGCATGTCGAATCGAAGAAGAACTGCATAAACCTAAATTAATTTTTGAATAAATTTATCCTTTGGGCGCACCCTGATTTTAAACTGGGAATTCCAAACAATTCCGCCCATAATTTTGAATGAATAGCACTCAACTATTGCTCTCTTCTCATTTCTTCTTCTTTGCCCAAAACACGTGATGACACATACATAGATAGATAGATAGATAGATCCATGGGAATATGAATGGTAAGCACTCACTCATGAAGTCTCTGGCGGTGGTGTTGGGAGAAATAGGGATGGCGAGGCGAGTGGGGATATTGGACTCCGCGAATACTGGCCATTCCAAACTTGAAGAAGAACACATTGCACCATATATCTGGCGAGTTCCTCTGATGAAGAAGAATGATACTCCCTCCTTCTACTCCTACAGTTATAATAAGCTCAACTTTTTAAAATTTTGAGGATGAATGATTTAATAAAATAATATAGTCTTGTCACTTTTTCTTTTTGCGTAGAACTTTTTGATGTAGTTTTTAAATATATTAATTTTTTTTTAAATTTTACACCTACAATCAAATAAATTGAATTGAAAATAAAGTCGGTCAAACCTCGTAAGCACAAACAGGAAAATAGTTTTAGGATGGAGGGAGTAGTTATTTTTAAATTATTTTATATGAAAAATAGTATGGAATTGAAAAATAAAATTTACATATTTAAAAGCTACATTAAAAGACCTACTCCTTTCGTCCCTAAATAAAGTTCCATTTTTGACTTTTTAAAGATTTAAGGGAGGGATATTTTGGTGTTGACTTTCCAAAAATACCCTTGATGTGATGTGTTAAAGTAAGATGTGATAGGTAAATTATTAGTAAAAAGGTATGATGTGATAGGTAGGGTATGAAAAAGTAAGGGGTAAAAGGGGTTTTTTAAGAGAAAAAAGAAATTTATTTAGGGACAAAGAAAAAACGAAAGAGGAACTTTATTTAGGGACGGAGGGAGTACAAAACTAGATATAACATGACTATAGTATTTTATCAAATAGGACAAAGTAAATAAAGTCTAACCTTGTAAATAGTGTACGAAAACTTTATTGTTAGGCGGAGGAAGCATTAAATTATATCAATAAGTTTATTGATATACGGAATAATAAGTTTATTTTAGAGAAAAAAACAAGTTCAATTTAGAATATCATATTTTTATAATATATATCCCTCTATCCCAATTTAAGCTGTATGTTTCAATTTACGATGTTTGACTGAAGTTATTTTCAAATCATTTTATATGAAAAATGGTGTAGAATTAAAAAAAATAAAAATTATATATATAAAACTACATTAAAAATCTACAAAACTAGTGATGATAAGACCATATTATTTCATCAAATTAGTAATAAAAAAATGAATGAAATTTAACTTTGTAAATAGTAAATAAGAAATTTAGTTTGAGATCTATAAGTAAAATTATTAAAGGTAAAAGTATTCCATCCAATCATATTTTCAACGAAAAAGATTCTATCACATATTTTGACCAAATGCCTTCCATCGCAAAATGTTGTAATTTCGAACTTGATACCGCCAAAAAAGAAAAGTGTAAAGTTTATTTGTATACAAAGTATATTGCTACGTAATTCCATATCAATTAATGATCCAGGCCGAGTGTGCGTGTGACCCTAACAAAATCCACTCGGTCCCTACAAAACATTAGCACTTTCGAGTAAAATATCACTAAGTGGCGATAAGCTATTTACATTAGGTTGAAATATCGCTGCTATATAACCTACTAACTTGGCAATGGCAGTCTGGGTTTCCAACGGTAGATTGATTGCGCTTCCAAGATGGGATGGCGCCATTAAAGCCTTTTAATTTGGCAATGGCAGTCTGGGTTTCCAATGGTGTATTGATTGCTTCGAAGATGGGATAGTGCCATTAACGCCTTCTAATTTGGCAATGGCAGTCTGGGTTTCCAATTGCGTTTTGATCGCTTGCGAGATGGGATAGTGCCACTAAAGCCTTCGTGTTTCCTCTTCGGCTCATTAGCACTCGAGCTCTGAACCGCATCATATTTCACAATGTTGGTTACAATGGCATGGATAAAGATGTTGGTTTTGGGAACCAGGATGGCTTCTCTCTCAATGAGTGCAGTCTGCCCACAGCTTGGGTCGGACATAGCTTCTCTCCTTAGCTTATCAAAAACCAGGTTCTCCTCGTCCTTGAAATTGTTTGCAGAAACCTGTCATTAAAAACACAATCAGCTCTACTTCCTATACAAATGTTGTGTCCTAATCTTCTGCGCTGGCTGTTTCATGTCAAAGATCGTCAGTGGAAGGCTACAAGACGGGGAACAGGGCTTGCCCTTTAGTTATTTTAGAGGGTTGTGAAGTAGGTAAACAAATCTCACCGTAAAATCAACTGGAATTTTGATTTCAGTAGAGACACATTTGCAACCCTCGCTGAAGTTAATTTTGAGAGTTACGTCAAATGGGTTTGATGTCTTCGCTGTCCTCCTGAGAAGAAGAAACACAACTTCAATGAGGGTACCATATTTTACAACATACCAAGTTAATTCCAAGTAGAGAGAGGGTACCATATATATTTCCAATGAATACAATCAATATCAATTCAAGTTTTACATTCAGTTTGATACTTGGCTGATTAGAAGGAACCTCAAGGCAACTACTTTTTTGTAGGGCCATTGCTAGTTTCAGATTCAAGTACCTTTTGAAGATTAAATGATCTACTCCCTCTCCTTACAAAAACATTGTTTGATAGTACAAGTCTAACTTCGCTCATCCTTAAATGTATTAAATGCATAATTAGTTTATTGAAAATTTATACTCCCTTCATCCCAAATTGATATTCCCTATTCAAACGACGTGCAAAATCCGTGTCTTTTAAAATAATTTTATTTAGAAATCGATATAGAAATGAAAAAAATATATATTTAAAAACTATATCAAAAGTTCTACAAAATGAGACGTGATAAGAATATTTTTATTTTATCAAGTGATCAATAAAAAGATGCAAACAAAAGTTATCGAGAGACCGTAAGAGGTAAATCATTCATTTTGGTACAGGAGTATTTAAATTTTAAAATATAATTTATCTAGTTTATTAAAGCTATTGAAAGTTTCAATGTAGTAAATAGCTTTTTGCAAAGGTAGTATAATAGTCGCACTGTACAGGACATCAAATTGCCATCATGATATAATACTTTTTTTGCTGTAGTTCATGATTTGAAGATAAATTGTGACAAGCAATCATGGCCCTCGTGATCTGTTTAGATTACATTTTTGCTGCTGATTAAATAGCAGCCATCTACCAAGAAGAGTTAAACTTATGCACCTGAAGAGAAGTTAAGCTACCTTTTGAGACGAAGAGGTTCCTTATCTAGCATAGTTGCTTTCATGTTTTGACTCTCAGAGAAGAAAACCTAGAATGCCATCCCAAATGCACACTAAAATGTTAGCCCCAAGTAAAACTAAATGGACAAAGTGCTTGAACAAGAAAATATTATTCTCAGATCCTAGCTAGCAGTTTGGCTCACTAAGGGTTGAACTCGTCTCGTTTATTTGAGATATCGACTTGGTACTCAATTCATAGACGAGTAAAGCTGGCAATTTGGTCGGTCAGGTCAGGTTTGGGTTTGGTGTCACCTTGGATTCGGGTTAGTTTGGGTTTGGGTTGAGAACTATATGATCATGACCCAATGTCATCGGGTTCGGGTCGACCCAACGGGTTATGACTTTGGTTTTTAAAATTTTTAAATTCATGTTAACACCTACATTTCACATCAAACAAAATTAAAATACAAAAAATATGTATTAAATCTATTATAGTATTTTTATTTTAAATTGTGAAGTAATTTTTAGGCATACAAATCAATATAAAGAATTTAAAAATGCTTAAAATATAAAGTGTTGTCTCTTGGTCAATTACAGAATCAAAATGCAGACCTAGAGCACAATCTCTGTGTATATTATGGAGTATGTGGTTATGAAACTTATTAAATGAGACCAGCTTCAAAGCGTCAATTCTAGCACAAAAAACTGGTATGAAAATGAAGACACTATACATTGCATATAATCTAGTTTCTCATGGGAATGAAGAGTGAAGACACTATATATTGCATCTAATCTAATTTCTCATGAGACAAAGCACATTGAAGTTGAATGTCATTTTGCCTTAGAAAAATATGGATTATAGAAAGCCGTAGTTTTGACTGGATATGTGAAGGCAGAAGATCAGTTATGAGATCTCTTTGCTAAAGCACTTAGCGGGGCTCGAGTTAATTATTTTTGTAAATTGCAACTAGTTGGGCAATTAGGATTGATAAATGTATACGCTCCAACTGGGCCGGAACCAAACTGTGTCCACCCCTAGTTAGAGTTCAGCCAAGTATCGTTAGTCTGTTAGATAATAGATACGTATGGTGTAGTACAGTTAGAAAAGTTGTAAAGGGAATACTGTGAGCACTCCCAACAGTGTTGGAAAAAAAACTTCCACACCAATCTCTCTCTACATTTCCCCTCTCATCCAGATCATTATTTTGGTGTGGAAATTTTGGTGTAGAAATTGCATCCCATCGATGAGAAAACAAAAAAAATCTCCTATGGGACCCATGCCAAGCAAGGAGTAGATTGAGAGATAAAGTTGGTGGACAGAGGTGGGTCATTCAATGAAATCTGCCAGACTTTAAATTCCTCCTTGTGCGCGGGAAAAAAAATCTCACGAGGAAATTGAACAAAACAAACTGGCGGGATAAAAAAATAAAACATGCGGAAGAAATTTTCTCACTAACGTGAAAGCTCTAAGACCAAAACCTGGCAATAGGACCATGAATCTAAACTGTTTTTTGTAATGTCAATATGTCATTCATTCAATAATGTGAAATACACTATTTGATTCTCCTATTTTCTTGATCATACGGTTATTACAAAGTCATTTGTCGATATCTTTACATATTGAAATGGGATCTGTTAGGTGAACTCATGGATGGAAGGAATCTAAACAAAACAGTTATGTTGCTCATGGAAGAGAAATAGCACAAAATCTCAGTATATAAGATAAAGCGCAACAGAATATAGCTAAATCTTACCTCCACAGATTTGATAAAAGGCAATGGGGCTTTATTTCCATGGATGCTTGCTAATCTAAGTGTCCAGTTAACATATTTTTTATCTACAACATAAGTAAAACCTACTATAAGAGAGAAGCACATAAATCTGAACCTATGAGTGAACATACTGCAATCAGTGAAACAAGATTAAAGTAGCTATAGAAGACAAGTGAGAAAGATTCGAACACTTCCAACCTTCAACTTGGGTAAACATAGCACATACTGTAAGTAGAAAGTAAGTTAAATTATTGAAAGGGAGACGAGTATTGATCTAAAAACTTTACCTACACTTAAGGCTTGAGTAAAAATGGTCCGGAAAAGATCAACTCTAATAAAAGGTGGGATTTGCATTTGTAGAAAGTTCATGACCCCTGCAATTACCTGTTCATAATCATACTTGTGAACTTCTCAGCTTTAATGGTTGGTTAATATTGCATACCATTTCTTAAGATAGATAAGTTTGCAATAAAAATATAGAGGATACCTTATCTACAAATCCACGAATTATCAAACTAGCTTTCTTATCCTTTGGGGTTTTCTGTAAAACAAAGGGTGCTTAGTCAAGAAGAGCTGCCACTAAGAATACTATAAATGCATGAGAAAATACCTACCACATAAATTATTACCATGATTAACTCAAAAGTTAATACTCATTTAAAAACATTTACTCCCTCCGTCCTAAAACTTTCTTCCCACTTCCTTTTTTTCTTGTCCTAAAACTACCTTCCCACACACCAAAAAAAGGATGTATAATGACATTTAAACCCCTCAACTTTACTCTCTCGCCAACAACCGCACCTACACATTTAGGCCAATCTCTCGCCTTCTCTTCACCCTGGTCTTCGTCTCTCTAAACACTAGATCTATGTCTCCTCCTCTCTCTGTCTGTCCTTCCCGCCCTTTCTCCATCTCTCCTTCTCTCCCACTCTCTGTAACTTTCCTCTCCCATAAAATCCTAGATCTATTCTTCACACCCTTCATATGGAAATCGCTGGGGAGGAGATTCACAGAAAGATCCAATATTTTGGGAGAGGTGATTTTATCCCGCTTCATATGGGATGGATCCATCAAGAAGGTTACCGGACATGAAGATTGAAGCTAGTTTTGTTAGATTTCTGAACTCACTTGAAATGGGTCTGGTGAGATTTGCCCTAGAAATGTCCAGGCATTGAATCTCCCTCAAATTACCGAATTGCCACGGGATAATTCCTTCATATGAGTTGTATCCTATTTCCATGTGGGTTAAAGGTTTGAGCTTTCCCAGTATCAATGGGAATTTTCCAGCGAGAGAGGTCTCCAGTGAGTCGTAATCAGAAGTTGGAAGGGAATGAAATGCCTTAGTTTTTATTTCAAAGTTTTTATGGAGGCCTAGAGGGGCAAAATTGGAAGTCAAAGCAAAATTAACTAATCCATTAAAAATTGCCTAAAGTCAAACCAGGAAGATGGTTTTAGGACAGAGGGAGTAATTTATAGGGGAGCATTTTGATTTTTGAACATTGTATTTTGTTTTTACATAGTTGATGCACATTTCAACCTTTTACAGCAAAAGGCTGCTTCACAGGGTCTCTTGTGTTTGCCCATTTAAAAAGTTTCAGGTTACAAGCATGAACAAAGGCTAAAATTGTTTATAACTTTATATGTACAAACACAAGATTAAAGAACTCAAGCTATTTTGTATTTCTCCTATAATGCAAAGGTATTAACTAGCTAAGTTTGAAATTACAGGGACTTGAAATAAAATCTAATGTACCTAGGGTAGTCATCAAAAATTTTGGTCAACTTACTACATTTAAGATGTGATACAGTGGCAATCAAGATATTCTGAAAGTAGCAGAGAAAAGAATAGATGTACCTGAAGATTTACTATTACTATTTTACCTCCATTCCGAAGGCATCGAAGAGGCAAATTACATGCAGGAGTTATCTGCAAACTGTGAAGGTAACTGGAGTCAAGACTCAAGGGTAGTCTTAAATCAATAATACTCTATGTTCAAAGCATGTGCTACTGCAAATCTACCATATACTGTACTGCAAATATCAGGTTAAAATTATAGCATTAGCACTGAAATTGTCATTTTGAAATGAGCATCACAAAAACAGTTGATAAAGCTAAATAGAGACCACAAATTTGTAGAAGGGCTAATACAGTTCACTACTTTTTTGGCTTTGGGCCTTGATGGAATAAAGCAAATGACTCTTTAAACTGTGAGCACTTCTTTTATAGTGAAGTAGTAGTTCATCAATGCAATTTTCTATGATCATCATGGGTCATCTAGAAACAACCATTCTATGTTTTAAACATAAGGGTTTTAAACATAGGGGTCAGGCTGCATACATCCAACCCACCCTTACCCCGCAATGGGCGGGAGCCTTTGAGTTACTGGGCTAATGTTGTTGTTGTAAATTTGTGGAGGGGAAACATGGGAAGTTCTATCAAGAAAAGGAAAGATGTGTTAAATAGAAGATGGTTGTGGATTACCTTGTACCTAAACATAGCACAAGATCGGCCATTTTGCAATGCTTTTCTGCTAGATTTATCTCTTTTTCAGGCAAGGCATCCTGCAAAGTGGAGAGAAGTGTTAGAAATCATACCAACAATAAAATGGCACATCAAATAATAATCTCATTGTGATGCCGGAAAAGGCCACTTCCCTCTATGAGCAGAGAAAAGATCAAGTACTTCAAATGTGTCATTTACTGGAAACATGCATATTTGAACCCACTGGAAACTTTCGATGATCATTAGACAAGAATTTTTGCAATCCTTCAGGTAACATCGGTTTTTATATAGTATGTGAACATATCTCCACAAGAGCTCTGCTATCATGTGATATCCATGTTCGAGATGGTGTAGGGTGAGTTTGAGACATTTTGTGGTTAGTGCGTAAAGGGTACGCCTTTCAGGTTAACCATAGTTATTTAAGGCGCGATGCGCACCAATGCACAAAGGGGCTCTAGCGCCTCGATGCGCAATTGATGCGCATGGACCACTAACACAATGTGAACACTGAAGCATAAGTAGCATAGCATCTCTAAAATAGTAATATTACATATAAAATGTTGAAAAGCATACGAAAACTTTAGAAAGCAACCAAGAATCAAAGTATAAACTTCATGGATTTTATTACAAATTAGGCAAATGGTGTATGTGCTTTGGAGTGATGGAATAAAGCAAAATGGATCTCTAAACTGTCTGCGCTTCTTTAATTAATGAAGTAGCAGTTAGTCTATCAATGCAACTTTCGACGTTGAGCGAGGGGTCTCTTTGGAAACAGTCTCTCTACTTTCGAGTAGGGGTAAGGTCTGCGTACACACACCTTCCCCAGCATAGTTTGTAAGGTGTCGCCTAGGCGATAAGGCGTTGTCACTGGGACGCCTTGTTTGCTCGCCTAGCCTAGAAAACCTTAAGGCGACCAGGCGCTTGCCTAGGCGTTGCCTTTCCTTGCCTTACCTCGCCTAAACTCGCCTTGATGCCTTGGGCCCATTTAAAATTTTGAAAAAAACCCATTTTTAGTGCAGCCCATTTTCTTTTAGTGTAGCCTAATAGACTTAAACTTATCTTCTCTCTCTCTCAATCTTCTTTGTCTTGATCAAGCTTCCTTAAAATGTATAAGGCCTGTATGTATGTATGTATGTATGCATGCATGCATGCATGGATGGATGTATGCATGGATGTATGCATGCATGCATGCATGTATGTATGCATGTATGTATGTATATGTAGGGATTGACTCCAGTGTGATGACACCTTACGGTGAGATGACATGCTTCGGTCAGATGACACAAAGCTCACCACTGGCCACTGCAAAGCTCACCAAAGACAATTACAAAGCTCACCAAACTGTTAGGCAAAGCTCACCATATTTTTTTCAACACTTTGAAATTTTTTTGAAAAAAAATCAAAGGAAGGGGTGCTGACTAGACTTTGACCATTGACCGTTGACCACAGCCGGCCGCCGACCTCCGCTGCTCCGCTGCTGCTGACCGGTGGTTGACAGTGTTGCTATTTTATTTTTAATTATTTTTTTAATTTTCAAAATTAAAAAAAAAGGTGAGTTTTGGTGTTCAAAGTGGTGAGCTTTGCTTTATTTCCAGGTGAACTTTACATTGGTCATTGGTGAGCTTTGCAGTGTAATGTGGTGTGCTTGGTGTCATCTGACCGTAAGGTGTCATCTCACTAGAGTCAATCCCATATATATGTATATATATGTATATATATATATATGTATATGTGTGTGTGTGTGTCTATATATATATATATATATATATATATATATATATATATATATATATATATATATATATATATATATATATATATATATATATATATATATATATATATATATATATATATATATATATATTTGTCACCTAGTCGTCGCCTAGGCGTGCGACTGGTCGCCTAGGCAATATGAAGGTACATTGGCGCCTCGCCTTGGCGCCTTACAAACTATGCTCCCCAGACCCTACTCTTGTTGGATTCAACTGGGTTGTTGTTGTGTCATTCCTATTTGTTTTTGTGACCCTCGAAACATACTTCCATCGGGGATCATTAGAACCTAAAATTTAGAGATTTTTACATTCTAAGAACTTGAAAGAGTGTACAAAATATAACTACAAAAAGGTAAAAAGGGGGAAACCTCACAAAAAATTGGAAAAAAAATTGTAAAAACAAATAATACAAGGAGCGACTAACTTACTAACCTTATTCTCAAATCTCATAAACTAGTATATACTACATCAATTTTTATTCTCAAATCCAACAAATAAATATTAAATTTCATTTCAAAGCAAAACAGAAAGACAAATAAAAAACTGAAATTGAAAAAAAAGATCTCGTACAATATTAACTCAATTCTCAAATAATTTACTACATCAGTTTTTTTCACAAATGTCAAACGCATAAAAAAATCAAAAGCAATTGAAGTTAAAATAAAAAATAATTAAATAAATAAATAAAGAAGGGGTCGGATCTGGACTGGGACTTCAACGCAGTCCAAGTCGAGAAGTGATAGAGTTCTAGGGTTTTTTTAATAAATGAAATATGGGTCAGTCTTATAGGGCCGGGTCCTGAAAAAACATAGTCTACTTCGACCAGCGGTTGATTACTCTAAGCAACACCTTTCTGACGGCAACCAGTTGTCACTAATCTATAAAAAAAATTAAAGAAAAATAAAATTTAAAGATGTGTATGTGATGCGCGCCCTGTAGCGCCTCAGACCGCACCGCATGATGCGATGATGCACAGTTATGCGCGCGCCTCCTGTAAGTCGCCCGCTTCACAAAGCTTGATGCACAGACCCCTGCACTTTGTGCGCATCAAGCCTCAGGCACGCTTTTCACAACTACGAGGTTAGTGTGCAAAACCATTTTAAATAGAAAATCAATCAATAACAAAATGAAATTAGTTGTGGATACAGTCAAATCAAATGTAGATAACAACAATAGCAAACCAAGTAAGATCTAACAGAAAGTAGAGTCTGGGGAGGGTGTGCTTACACAAACCTTACCCCTACATGAAAGTAGAGAGATTGCTTCCAAGAGACCCTCGGATCCAGCAATAAAGAAGATACAGAGCAAAAACGAAGAAGCAAAGAACAAACTAAGGGCAATGAAAAGTGCACAAACACAAAAAGCACGCAAAGTCGCAAACTGCATCAGGCAAGTAGATCCCAAGCACAGAAAGCACTCAGAGACAAGCGCAAAAACTACAACCAAGACCCAGATAGCTACCCAACTATCCAAGTCGGCAAGTCCTAAATCTCAAGACGCTACTATCTAAGGTCAACACTCAACACACAACTGGAGATTGTCAAATAAAATTTACACAAAGGTTGATAACTAGTACAATAAAAGATAGATGAAAATAAAGATAAAGAGTTGGACGTCTCTTGGAAATAACCTCTCAGCTATCAAGTATGGGGTAAGAGGGGTAAGGTCTACTTGCACACTACCTCCCTCCCCAGACCATACAGTTTGTGGGACTTTCCTTGGTTTGTTGTTGAACATAAAGATAAAACATAAAAGTTAATAAATAAGGAACTAAATTGATAAATAGCAAATAGAAGAAAAAACACACCTGCCTATTGTATAACTTGTGGTTGAATTCACTTGATCAGATCTAAGATTGTGGAGGAAAGATGAAGCTGAGGTGGAAGGAGAGAAGCCCGAATTGGAAGTCACAAGTCACACGACTGATTGTTTAATAAGTCTTTATTGAACAAAAGTTTTAAAAAAGTTTGATTGGTCTTGTTAATATTCATCTACTAATCCGTATTTTTTAGAACTTAACAAACAAAATTAAGGGTTAAGCCTCACAGCTGACACACCAGTGTGATTACCGCCATATGTGTAGTATCCTGGAGGCCTAGCAATAGGGCTTCAAATCTCGAAAAAAGCCTCAAGGTTCCGGCAGTACACCATTTCAAACATTGTGTTGTATAGTCCACTGTTACAGAATTTTAAGACTAATGAAGCAGTGCATCAAGTGTTTGAAGGAAATAGCTCTTTACTTTTACAAAGGTAAGACTGTGTGCATCTTGACCCCCAAACCTCAATAGAGTTGAGATTATACTGAGTGTGTTGCTGTTTAAGACTGTAATGAAGAAGGTAAAATTATGATTTACCCACCGAGATTATGGTCTATTCAATTTATCTCAGTTTTTTTTCCTAACTCCTAAATACTAGATATATACGAAGTATTATACTACATAAAACACAAACAGATTATTCACTTAACCTAACATTCAAAACAGATACACCAAAGACTACATCACACTAGTGCAAGAATAAGAGTTCCAACACAACCATAAACTTTGCAAATGCTTCAATAAAATGTACTCGTTATTACATAAATGTGTAGGAAGGGTTAGTGTGTGTGTGTGTGTGCGTGTGTGCCTGTGTGTGAGTGTGTTTGGGGTGAAAGGTCTTTAGATTCGATTAAGCTATAAAACATGGTAAATAAATTTACATTACCTCCCAATCAAGAACTGTGTCTCTAAGCCTTGCACTACAACCCACTTTTGTACAATTTCGTGTTGTCTCCTTCAAACCAATTGTTTCTACTTCAAAGTCTCTCATATACCTTTCAAATTAGTTACATAGCACAAATTTTGAGTGATGCAAATGTGAAATGTGTACTGAAGGACAACGTGACAGAATGAAAAAATGCACGGTAACCAAATCCAAAGCTCTTTTAATTACCAAAAAGTCATGAAAGAACAGTAATCCCTCACTCCAAAAAGAGTTGGGTTTAGAAAGCTTTTTTGGCACAAAAGAGTTTATGTCATCAGAAGAAACTCATGTTTTATGCAATTTGTGCAAAAGTTACAAAGAAGTTGCTTATGACTATCATTTATTTTGCACTGTGCTCAGTGTGACTATGAACAAGGGTGTGCCATTGCCCATCTCTTAGTCTTTCCATTGGTTATAATGAGGGTGGCATAAGCATTAAGGTGTTGCAAATCCTCAGATGTTTTGGATTGGTGTCTTGGGCTATCACACAATATTAATCTCGTGCTTTCTTTTATGATACACAAAATAATATGTATGTTTAATCCAAGAGTTGAAAATTATATTGGTCTTCATAAGATCAATTCCTATACCTCGTCGCAGTACATGATCCCGTAAGCTTCAAAGAAAGTTGTTTGTGTCGACTAAGTGGAAGCAACGATAGTTTGCGCTGCTCAAGCTAGGCATCTACGAAGTATAATCCTGATCAAGAGTCATCATTCACATTGGGATCTTTGTGGGAATTATATCCAAAGTTCATTAAAAAAAATATTTCTACTGCGTCATCTTGGGCTTAATTTAGAACTATGGTTCAGTCCACGTAGTTTGTCGTTGTTTGTCTCAAACTTGATATGATGTGTAGCAATTCTAAGGACTCAAATAGGTGTGTTTTTTATTACCTTGACGAGCCCATGGCACCCATGGTGTGGTGAAATTAGTTGTCATGTTAGTGGGAATAGTTGGTATTGAGGCATGTGGGAGACTTTGGGATGCCAGACATGCGCTTGCACATCAAGCTGGACTTTAAGCACGTGAAATGGCATTAGAACATGTCATAAATATATTGTTTATGTGCCAAGAAATGCTACACTAGGTGAAGGCGTGAAGCTCTAAGCAATGAACATTTATAGGGTTAGTTGGTTATTTGGTTAACATCGGGGGGAAGGCATAGCAACAAGCAAATTAGAGTGTCAATTTACGGGACCTAACAAAAGCATGTTGTAGGATCAATGGAGCAGGAGATAGCCATAAAATGTGATGATCCTAGGGTGTAGTCTTTGCCTAGCACAAGGTTTTGTTATAGAGAGGGTGGTACCAACATTAAGGTATTATCATTCACTATATGCTTCAGTTGGGCAGATTTATGCATGCCAACCTCATTTAGTCTGACACGTTTGTTACTAGCCTTTGACTTATGATGTGAGCTGAAGTGATCCTAAGCACTCAACTAGCTGGAAACTTTTTTGAGTTCCCTAATGAGTAAATGACAAGGCCAAACTAATTGAAATGTTTGTGAAAAAGCTGGTCATGAGGCATGCAAGAGACCTTCGCATGTCACACATGTTCTTGAATATGGCACCATCCATTAAGTTCGTGACATATGGCATCAGAGCAAGTTGTACGTGTGCATTGTTTATGTACTGAAAAAAGCTTTGCTCTTTTGAGCAGACATGGGATTTCCAACAGGCAGATTGGAGTGTCAATTTGTGGGGTTTGAAGCATGTCCTGAACTTGACTATGACATGGGCTGAAGGGATGCTAAGCACTCAAGTGGTTTGGGATTGTCCAAGGTTGCATGTTTGTGGGAAAGACCAGTCTTGGGACGTTGCATAGCTGCTTGCTAATCACACTAGACTTTAGTATTGCGATACTAATAGATTTAGTTAAATCAATAAATTATTTTTGAAAATATAAGTAAAATTCTATGACTTTTGACAGTTGTAAAACAAGACCAGTGCACCAAGTGTATTTAGACTTTAGAGGTACAAAGGCTTTTGACAGTTATATTTTGCCAAAAGTAAAATGTTGTATCTTGACCAAACAAGGATTTTTGAGAATGAGGGAATACTACGTATAATACACTAATTATAAAGTCGCAAGTTGCATATGAAATGTAAGCCTTACTCAACTCCGCACGGACAAATTTCCATGAATGAATTTCCATGTAGCTCAGAAAGTTTCTCCCTTGGAATGCCAGATCGGAGATGAATGCCATCAATATTCTTAAATTTCAATAAGTGCAAAGAAAGATATATTGTTAAAAAAATGAGGTTCAAGTTGTCAACATAAGAAGGGATGGAGTAAGACTGTAAAAGGACATAACAGAAGAAACCCCCACCTGACTAATAATAAACTTTAGAATACCAGCTTTCTCTAATCCAACCAATGCCATATGAGTCAAGCTAGGCATTGCACGGTGAAATGGCAATGATGCCTTTGGCATAGCTTTTCCTTCTTTCTAGAATGTAGAAATAAAACAAAATGTGTTCACATTCAGCATACTTTCATTATTTCTTGTCTTAACAAGCACTGCTGGAACTGAAATGTCTCAATTATGCATGTACGCATACATATGGCATGCATTTCAACAAAAGATTAGAGAGCAATATAAAAGTAGAATTCCAGTATACCCATGAATTCTTAATTGACTAGATGAATTTCAGTGAATATAATCAAACGCATTCAAGATGAATGTTTCAAATCCAATAGAGCATTTTACTAAGGCATCTTGCTCATTGTTATAAAAATATTTTCCTCATCAACCATGAAGAGAGAGGTTCATCCAGATTATTTTTAGTTTTGTTTTTAGAAAGGTTTCAATTTCCAAATTGATTAGGAGTTATTATATCATGTAGATTAATATGCTCAAGTAATAATAAGGAATGCCCCCACTTCTAAAACATTTAACACCATTACCTTACCTGAAGTGTCCAGATACCATTGGGACCACGGAAGTCAGGAATACCACATGAAGTAGATATTCCTGCTCCAGTAAACACCACTAAATGCTTACTCTGCATAACAAAACCATACAAGTAGTTTGAGTTGAACGTGATTCCTGAAATGCATTCAGAACGTGAAAAATAAACACATATTACTCTAAATTATGGCAAGAGGCCCACCTTTCTAATCATCAATGCAAGTCGGTCAGCCTGCATCTCAAAACAAAAGTCATAATGGTCAGTTAATTCTGAATAGAGTGAGTAAATCACAATCACTATAATAGTTGTAGCCTTGTAGGAATTCATAAATCTCTGACTGAACACCCTAAAATAAGAACAATTTCGGCAAAATATATGTGGTGACCTTCGACTACATTTTAAAAGAAATTGATTGCGCTAAAAAAGCTCAATCATCAAGACTTCAAAGGAAAACCATGAATGCACTTTCCCTAGTACACCTACCATAAAACACAAGAATTATATGCTATGGCTAACTTCATCTACAAGTAGCCCGTTCACAGAATGAAAAAAAATCCTAAGAGAGGTTCCAATCGTTCACGTTTACCGATTCGACATTCACCTGATTATAACTAAAGCATACACTTCAAAGCACAAAACATCAGGAAACAAGGCTACCCCAGCAAACAATCCCACCTCAAACTAGTGATTCGGCATCCGAAACTAACTGATTCTCCTAAGCAATTATGATAACAAGGACATTCAGGAAAAAGGAGAAAGACAAGATGATGCGTATATAAAGGGGTTTGAATCCCACTTTCTCCTGTAGAACATGGGGTGGGTCGTAATACTCTGTCATCCCAACGCTGCCAACATCTTCTATGTAAGAGAGCTTCTCTGCGTAGCCCAGAGACATGCCTTCTGAGTTTTCTCCACAGAGAGTTTTCTCTTCCCTTTTCACTGTCCCTGCCTGAAAATGTTGATCGATGAAATTTGAAGAGGCTCAGCTCAGGCCGCCCATAGAGGGCCCATTTTCCCTCTTTCTGATGTGTCTTTTGGAAAGACCGAAGTAGGTATTATTGTACATTTGTACTATTAATGGAAAAAAACACTCCAACGGTTCAAGTAGGGCACCGATCGTCCGAAATTGTGAAACCTCTTGTCCCGACGGATTCGGGATGTTCTACTTTGTCCTAATCGCAAATATAAAAATGGAGAGAGTGTGACATTTCATTCAAAAAAAGAAACATCTAGTCATCCAACAAAAAACAAAGAGTGGAACGGGTCCAAATAAATTTTCAAGCTCATGAAATTAACTTAATTAAATAAGTAATTAATTAAAGAATAAGTGTATTTGGATTTTGGACTAGAATAGTATTATATTAGTAAAGTAGATGAAACGGGATAAACGGGACGGATCGGTATAAATTTAAGTTGTCCCGCTCATGTCCCATTTGACATTGGGATAGAACGGGTTCGGGATAAAAAAATGTGTCCCAATATATCAGTACAATTACAAAACGGATCTGGGATTTTTTGGAACGGTCCAACGGGAACGAATTTCACGCCCACCCCTAGGTTCAGACTCGGATCACCAGAGCTTGACACGTGGAACGTTTATGTGGAGCCTTTTTTGAAATGTCGATGATGACTGTACAAATTAATTAGATCTAAAATCATTCCTAAAGTAAAGACATCATGTATGGGAACTTTATTTATAATCATTGACCATTTTTAGCAAAAAGTTTATGATAACTTTTAAAACTTGATATTTATACATTTGATAAGTTTAAACTAATATATTTGATATTCTAAAAGAAATTACTTCCTTTAAAATCATTTAACTTACTCATATCTTCTTTAAAACTAAAAGAAATTTTTTAACTAAAATTTTAAAAAATTACTTCCTTAATGTAGTACTTTATTCTACTAATTCATGAAGAAATCAAGCTAAATAAAACTAAAATATAAAGAATCTACTGAAATAGAAGCTCCAAAATATAGGAATCTATACTGTGATATGGATAATTCACAGTGCATTTTTGTACTCTCTCCGTCCCTGAAAATCTTTCTCATTTCTTTTTTCATTTGTCCCGAAAAACACTTCTTATTTCTATTAAAAAGTCACTTTTACCCCTTACTGTTTCATACCCAACCCATTATTCCATATCTTTTTATTAATAATCTACCCATGAAATCTTGCTTTTATCTATCACATCAAAAGACTTTTTTGGAAATTCAATACCAAAATATACTTTCCTTAAATCTCTTAAAAATCAATAACTTCCATGTTTTTAGGACTGGAGGGAGTATTATATATTGGCATGACTGGCATTGTATATGTATTTTAACTCCTAGTTTGAGAATAAAAATATGAAACTTCTATTTTGATATATTTTCTATGTTTATTCATACTTGAGTCTTTTTTCCTAATCTATAATCCATATTTTTATAAGTATGTACTACTTCGTGTGTAAATAAAAAATTTAATTTTTATAGCTATAACTTTTGAGATGTTACTTTTTTTGGAAAAGCATGCACATGATATTAAAAATAAAATGTGTATCACCTAATTATATATAGGGGGGAGGTACGTATATTTAGTGAAATAGTTAGAGGTATTGTTAAAGTTTGCTATTTTAATTCGATTTATATGATAAAATTGTTGTAGTTTAGACATTAATATTTAAAGTATCCTCATTTGAATGTATTAACTCTGTGCGGGTGTATACATTGTGAGTTTTAAAAGAGAGGTTTTCTTCATGCATACATCTTAATATAGTTACATGAGGGAGATAAACTTCAAACATCTGAGACAATTGATCGTGTGATAAGTGCAGAATTGTCTAATAAAGACAAATACCCTAGATTGTATGAATTTGTAACTTTATTAAAGATGCATGGTCCATATTGTAACGCCCCAAAACATGGTCTAAAAGTTATTCTGTAATAAAAGTAGTTTAGAAATAATATTTTGACCCAACAAAATATTATTTCTATGTTTGACCAAAAACGAAAGAATTTTTTGAGTCAATGATTTTTTGTTAGATTGACTTTTATGGATAGGTCTCGAATAGACGAATCCAATGATATATTTTATGAACAAATCTAATGTACGGATTTTGATCTGTGATATTTTAAATATGTAATTTGCATAAAAATGAGAAGTGGTTAAAGATGAGAAATTTTGTAAAATGATTTATTGAAATAAGTTATTCAAATTGAATAATATTGATTGAATATGGGAATACTTTTAATTATATATCAATTAATTTAATTTTGACTCTGTCAAAGTCAACACCATAAAATATGATGTCAGACAAAGTATTTTTTAAAAAATGTGAAAATTATATTGTCATGTAGAGCTTGACTGTATCACCGTAACGGTATAATCAAATTTCAATTTGGAGAAAGTTGAACCAAAAAGTATACTCCGATTGGGACCATTTTAGCCCCAATCAAGGAGAGACAAGTGAAATTTCCAAGGATCAGCCGCCACCCCACTATGCCGAACGAATGACCAAGCAAAATCACCACAAATGAAGTCATCAAACTTCATACAATTCTCCTTCGACACCTATAAATGGAGCACCATTTATTCTTCAATTCTCCACCAAAGTTCTTCATTCTTCTTCATATAGTTTCATTAGAGTATAGGGAATAAACCGCATTGGTTCGCCGCCGCCAAAGTTGTCGGAGGTAGCCACGATTCTTTCCGGAAGTTGCCCCGAAAAGTTGAATGAAGAAAACATTCCCTGTGCAAATCAGTCCACTTGTGAGCATTTTTACACCCTCTAAACCTCGTTATTTTAATCTGGTCTCTAAACGAAAGTTGTAGCCTTATGTCTTACAAATCTGTAGCTTTAAACAGTTCGCGATTTCGTTGAGTAACGAAGGAGATATGACCCGAAAACCGGGGCCGGTACAGTGGTGACGGGAAGTGGCGAGTTTTGTGGTTTCCGACGTTGTTTTCGCTCACGTTCGTTCATTGAGCTTCATATCGTCGATTTCCAGGTCTGTACCATGATTTTAAACAACTTTAGAAGGCATTGGAATGATCCTTGAATTTATTGATTCATATATATTTGGAAATATAAATATTTTGATATTCAAATTTACCAAATTTGTTTTGTTGTTAAAGCTTCAAATAAATCATTTGTGAATGATCTATGGACGTTAGAATACATTTTTATGAAGTTAGTTTAAAGCTTAGAAGTTTTAATGGTGTTTAGAGAAATTGGATTGAAGGTTGAAGATGATGAATAGTAACTCCGTTTTTCCAGCTTTATCCAGACGGTACGAACGACCGTGCAGATTCAACGTTCGACCATTACGGACATTTTATGTCCGAAAATGCTATTTTTGAAGATGTAAAATCCTATTTTTGATACATCAATAAAAAGAAAATTTATTAGAGTAAAAAAATGATGTTTGGACAATTAAAAAACCTTATATGATATATGACAATAAGCTAGGTTGTTAACACTCGATGCTAGGCCACTATTTGTTTTTGGATATTGTGATGATTATTATTGATGTTGTTTATGATCAAACTTTGATGAATATTCTTATTAAAATAATAATTATGAATGATTGAATCACGATTAAAAATGAATATAAATGATAAGTTTTTGTATTTTTTGACGTGTTTGTTACTTATTCTCTTCGTTTCAAAGTGTTTGTTTAATTTTCACTTTTTACAATCAAACACAATCAAACTTTGATCAATAGTTAGATAAATCTTATGTAGCATACCAATAATTAGATAAATAACAATTTAAAAATATTTTACAAGAAAAACTTTATATAATTAATTTTTTATTTTTACCCACTTTTATTTACGTATTTTTTTATATGCACTATTAATATATTTCTTGTTCTAATTTTAATAAAATGATTAATTTTAATTCTAACTTAGTAATTTTTTATTATATTTTATATTTTTATCTTGACTATTTTAATTAGAATAAGTGTTAAAAATAACATTAAAAATTAGAATAGGAAGGGGATGCACACTCTGAAAAAGGAAGCGAAGGAACTGAATAAGATAAGTCGATCAGAGTAAACAAGTCAAACATTGCGGAAGCCTTTGAAGAACAGCGTCATTAAAACATTCTTGTAATTTAATTAAAATAAATTCAAAAGAGTATCAGAATTCAACAGCTCCACGCCATCCACTTCGCAGCCTCACATGACATCACTGACCACTGGGTTGTTCATGCAATCCTTAATTCATACCTACATGCAGTCAAAGACAAAAAAAGTATACGCTCAGCTGAAAGGTGAGGGAGAATATGACTAACACTATAACTAATTAATAAACTAACATGCATCAATATATAATCACATGATATATCTGAAAAATTGGCAAATATCATTATTATATTTTATAACTAATCATTTGTTTATTTTAGTTCAGATCTTGCATATTTTCACTATACTTAATTTACATGGCTAAGATACACTTTCGACATACTAGAGTCATTGGGATTCAAGCACTGCGTGGAGCCACTCTCGAAACCTCAAAGAACTTTTTTGAGGCGGGCTGCCTCCTCTGGCATTGCCAGACAAGTCGCACACTTTCGTATGTACGTTTTTAACCAAAGACATGTTAGTGATGCGAATCTCTTCCCACCAAGCCTAAACCATAAATCTTAACTTAATGGTTATTCCAACATTCTAAGCAATTTCATTCAGATCCTCCTAGTACAATTAAGTGGCCTATTTTTTTGTTAGTCATCTTTTCGCAGGACCTACTCAACGATATAAGATTAGATATATAATATTTTCCCCATGACATGTTTGTATCATATTCTTTTACTTCATTCTATTTTCATTTTTGGGGCGATCAAGTTACTATATTTCGTACCTCATATTTGCGTCCAGATTACACTGTTAACTCGTCTCATCAAGACATTCAATTCGAGTATAAACTTGACTATAAAAAATTACTTTGAAAATTGCTTATTTTTAGCATTGACGCTTCTATTTTATTTAATGTAATGAAAACTAAGATTATGATTTATTAGAAATTTGTTAATAAATTCTAGGGTATGTTTCAGAACATTACAAAATCAGAAGTAACCCTAGGATCAGATGCAACAAAATTCATTCAGGGTATGTAAAGCCTTTCCCCGACTCGATTTTCCAAAACCACAATTGCACTGGTGATGTTCTCTGACAACACTTCAACGATTAATCTTATATTATTACACAATATACTTATTTGGTCAATGTTTCGCAATAACATAATTGGTATTCGTTTTTAAAAACAATTTTGTGGTTTGGAATTCCAAAGTATTTGATTTAATTAAAAAACTCAACTGTTATACGGCCACTATTAACACCTTCATCTGGATCTTTTTGGCATGAATACTCCAGAACTTAAGTACCCTTTTTCATCTCCTGGAATTTGGGATTTGACAAATTTATTTCCCATTTCCGCAACCTTGAGCGTGAGTGCTAGTAGTGTACCTTATCCTAAAAAAGAAAAGTTTTTCATATTTTTCAATGTTTTGGATAAGTGAAATCCACTATAATCTTGAAAGGATAATTTGTGTTAAGAATTCAGACTAGATTTCAACGTTAGCAGTTTCATCAATTACTTGGAAAAAACTTTCCATTTCCGAATTTGATTATCTAACCAGAAAAAACGTGTGTGCCCTTATTAGTGCAAGAGGACGTAGATGAATGTAATTTTACATTCTTGGTTAATGTATAAACTTTAAAATACAACAATAATTTTGAAGAATTGATGTTAACATCTACAATTTCCTCTCTCGAAACTTGAGGTAAGATTGGAAGAATTTGACACAAATCACCATAGACTATAACCGTTTTCCCTCATAATGATTCATTTCTAGAGTTATTATTAGAGAATCTCATTACATTTTTCATTGTGCAATCTAATCCCACAAAAGCAAATATATTCTTTGTACGTTATCACAAATGATTACACTTGCTTATTAGATTAGTTTTGCTTTTGGACTTTCTACATATAAAGAAAGGTATGTATAAAGTGATCGACTATTTAAGATCCATAATGAGTGGAACTTAATTTAAGCTGTTGTTATGCAACGACTCTCTCCTTTTAATTTTCTAAGAAAATAGTTTAATTGCACAAATGTTACCTACTTCGTCTTACTTTAAATAATCGGTTGTTGTTTATGAGATTTGAATAACATTATTTTCAATGCAATTAATTTAAAATTGCAATAGAATTAAAAAATACAAAAAATCTACAAAACAAGAGGTGACATAAGTTTTTTTAAATGTCTAGCTAAAATGGATAAAAAAACATGGTTAAAATTTGACCATATGATTACTTAATAGACAAGTTAAATTAGGACATAAGAAATACTCCCTCCGTCCCAGAGTATTTGTCCAGTTTGACTTTTTCAAGTCAATCTGGACAAATTTTAAGCTTCAATTAAATAAAAACCGTAAAGTATTTTAATATAAAAATGACTTTATTGGATTTATCGTATTGAGAACTTTCAAAATTGTATTTCATTATGCTAATATGAAATACAAATTTAGAGTAATTTGAGTTTAAAGTTTGTCCAGTTTGACTCGAAAAAGTCAAACTGGACAAATATTCTGGGACGGAGGTAGTAATAAATAGTGAATTGATTGGGTCATGCCCGTGTAAAAAATTGGGGTCATTTCCATAAATTAGCATTTCATTTCAGGGATGGTCTACAATGTGCAACATAAGCTACTGGACCAATGAAAATGGTGGGCCCAAATATATAACAAGACAACGAGTAACAAGTCATGAAGAGAGTTTTATTGAAGGGAGAGAGACGAAGGCAACATTCCATTTAACTTACTTTTTTTCTTATTACTTATTTTTATTAAAATTAAATTAAATCAAGCCAGATCAGTTCAGATCCAATCAGATCATAACATATCAGATTAGATCAAATCATATCATATCAAATCCAATCAAATCAGATCAAATTAGGCTAAATCATAATAGAACAGATATAAACAAAATTAATATTATTATTACTATTATTTCTATTAACATTATTAAGAGTATCATTATTACTATTACTATTACTATTACTATTATTATTATTATTACTATTAATATTAATATTATTTTTACTATTATTATTATTTTTAATGTTACCATCATTATTATATTTATTCTTACTATTGTTATTATTACTATTACTATTATTATTTTTATTACTATTATTATTCTTATTATTTCTATCATTATTATTATGACTATCATTATCACTATCCCTATTATTATTATTATTATTATTGTTACTATAATTATTACTATTATTATTGTTGATATTATTATTACTATATTTACTATTATTAATATTATTATCTCTCTTACGCATATTACTATTACTATTATTATTAAAATTTCTATAATACAGAGTATTATTATTACTATTATTATTAGTATAATTACTATTTTTTAATTGTTATTATTATTACTATTGTTATTAGTAGTATTATTATTATTTCTATTATTATTATTATTCTGATTATTGTTAGTATTATTATTATAGTTATTACTAGTATTATTATTTTTATTATTAATATTTCACTATTACTATTGCAAGATTTGATGAAGATTTGCAAAACCCCCAATTTTGGATCCAATTTCGAATTTTAGGGTTTTTTCGAGTAGAAAAATTCAGATTCGAGAAATTACAGGCCAAATTAGACAAAATGGTTTGGATATTATTGATCCTCGTCTCAAGGCGAAGAGAATGACATTGGTTCCGCCGGAATCGGAAAAAGTTCATTTTCCGGCGACTTTGACCGGCGGGCGGCGGCGGCGGGGCGTGGAAGAAAAGAAAAGAAGAAATGGGGTCAAATTGAAAATTTTAAAATATATAAAATTCGAATTTGGCCCTAATGACCGGAAGTTAACCTAGAAACGGGCTAATGGTTCATTAGTTAAAGGATTGTGTAAGTTTAGGGATTTTTGTGAAAGGATTTGAAGTTCAGGTACTACTTCGAAATTCCAGCAAAAGTTCAGGTACCATTTGTGAAATTACCAGAGATTCAATCAATGACATCATCCAATTAAATCAAATCAGGTCATCTATCCGCCGAAATCCCCTTTCCACTAATTAGGAGACGCTCGAATCTCGTAATCTAGAAACGGAGAGAGACGAACTGAAGAGTGTTTTGTTGAAGGGAGTAGCGACTTTTGTTTGGTTTGTTGATGAACCCTAATTCATTATTTCATCAATTTTTGTAGCCATAGTCCGTGAATCACAATGATTATGTTAAAACTTCTGATTTTTTCAAAATTTTCTTTTTTTATTTGAAATTTTCTTGAGGATGATAGCGTTTAGTTTCTGAATTGTAGATGTAATTGCGAAAGATAGCTCATGAATCACGATGATTTTTCTTTTTTTGAATTTTATGTTTTTTTTTGGGGAAATTTTATGATGTTTAGTGCTCCGTAATATATAAATTATAGAAATTTATTAAATGGAGCATTTAATAAAATAAAAATTGTCTAAATTTATTACATTGTTTAACAAAAGCATGGAATTTATTGAATTTCATGCAATCAAATGTAATTGTTTAATTCTATGAAATTTATTTTAGATGCATGAGTTGCTTTTTTACTTTAGATACTCCGTACAATTTATGGAAGTAAATTGGTTCCTTTTAAATGTAATTTATCAATAAAAATACAGAGTAGAAATTAATGATTCAAGTGATGATTTTGCATTTAAATATGTAAATTGAATTCCCTAAAAAAATATGTAGATAGAATCTCTTTTTAAATGAAATTTTACTTAGGTTTTTTTACTTCATATTTCATTGTGATAAATTAAATAATTAATATGAAATCAATTCAATTTTTTATTGGTTGGTATGTGCATTTTGTGTTACTCGAGCTTGGGTCTCTAAGAAACAATCTCTCTATTCAAGTAGGGATAATGTCTGTGAATTGTTGTAATTGTAAGCCTACAAGGTATAATGGGGCAACATCATTTGTTACGCAAAGGCCCCCGAAACTTTCAGGACTGGCCCTGCCAATACATATTGTAAAATGGTAAACCAATTTCAGCCAAACTAAGCAAAAAATACCTTTTCCTGTTTGGAAGCCTAAAGTGGCTTATTCTGCTATCTGTAGGGTATAGCGGAGTAACTAATTTGGCTGAAACTGATGTTAGCAAACTTCCATCCTCTTAAAAGAATTCAGCCAGATTAAAGTATATCTGCCAGATTAGAGTATATAAGCCAAATAACCCTTGCAAAATAATAGAATTGTTGTTAGCTCTTATTTTGCTTATTCTTTTATTATAATTACTTGTACTACTAATAAGAATAATAACCCAATCAATGCTACCAAAGTAGCTTTTGAAAAGCTTATTTGGCTTAAGTCAAGGTTCCAACACTTGGGCCGAAGACTATATCGTACATCAAACTAAATTTTCATTGTAACTACATTTGTTTTTGCTAGAAAACTATTCGATTCACATTTGAAATAAATCTCTGGGTAACTATGTAAGGTATTCCATTAGTTCATAATTTGGATGAGAATAAATAACTATGTAATGCTTTGTATTTATTTTATCACTATTATTTTGTAGGATGAAGTGGTTGTGGTTGAAGTAATACTCGGAGTGTAAGAGATGCAGAGCATGTGTGTTTGAAATTCTCTCTTTTTTTTGTTTATCCTTTTTTGTGACCATGTACTTCTATGTTAGTATGACTGCTTTTGATTGATGTAATTTTGAGACTTACAGTACCTTGATACTCTTTTTAATACTCTGTAGTTTGGGAACACCAGTATAGGTTTGCGAGTTTTATGTTAATTTTTTAATACTTGTATTTCATAACTTGTGAAACAGCTAAAAAGTTCAATATAACTATTTTCAAATATGAATATTTGAATATAGGATCAAATCGAATATAAATGATTTTTTTAATTTGAATAAAAAACAGATACAAATTCAAATATATGATACACTAATCGAATACGAATACATTGATATTTGCTTGGATTGAATTCGTATACATCCCTACTGGTCATGCAATGTTGCTTGGTAGAATAAGTATTTGGTGGGTTTTCGATCTTGTAGGCATAGAGACGAGGACGGGGAGGCATTAGTGGATTTTGATGACGATGTCCAGTCCGATCAGGAAACTCAGGAAAACAACCTTTCTGACAATCTTGAGGATGATGGATGGGACCAGAGGGAGCACGAACAATTGCAAACTCCGGTTTATGACAATGATTACAAATCAAAGTCCCGAAAGCGGTTGATTAAGAAGTCCGATGGGAGAGAGATTGTTCCAGATCATGGGTTTGCAGATGAGGATGCTTATGGCGGTGCTTATGATGATGGCATCCCAGAGATGGTAAGGGATGATTCTGTTGGACCTGAATCCTCCTATTCTGGCATTGGGAAGAGGAAGCACATTGATGATAATGGTGGGGAAAAAAGGAAAGGAAAGAATTCGAGGGAGAAAGGGGACAAAGGTGGTAAAAAGTTTAAATTGAAGAGTGGAGGGCACACAAGTGCACACAGGAGGGGCAAAGAGGGTGATCAGGAGCTGAAGGAGCTGTGGGACACTGTTGCTGGTGGTGATTCTGAGGTTTGTGGATCGATTGCTTCTTTATTAACTACTGCTGAGTATGTGTGAAACAAAATTTGTTCCATTTATTTGTTCATATTTTACTGTTTACATGCTAAAACAGGCTAGGTATTGAAAAAGTAAAACATTAAAATTTTAAGATACCGGTCTAACTAGCCTACAACTCGAATTTAAAAATGTTGACGTAAATGTAAAATTCTAAAGTTTATTGGCAAACAACTCAAATGTATTTATCTAGAATGCTATCAAACACTTCATATATTTCAAGATATAAAGTGATTGAATATATAAAAACAACACAGTATTTAGAGCAACACACAATAATGAACTTCACTCATTGGCAACCTGATTGTTGAGTAATGTATTACCGAATGCTAGCTCATCAAGTGAGAGTTAAAAGAGAACTCTAAAATTCTTGCTAAAATTCTTACATCATCAAACAATTAATATGCATCTTCACCAACATCCCACATCTTTCTCTTTACATCTTCATATTCAGCAGAATTATTTGATAAAAGACAAAGATTGTTGTGGATGAGAAACAAATCCTTTGCGATATGTAACTTGGCCCTTAGTCATCCTTAGTGAGTGAGTAAAGAATATGTACTTCATATTTGTTCACAATGCTTCGTGAGTGAGTGAAGAATATATGTTTTGTAGGATCTTACGATTCAATTTACGATCTTACGAGTTATGATCTTTATGAAGCCTAGCAATCCTACGTAGAATCTCGAGTTTGACTACTATGCTTCTGTCTTTTACCAAGGATACTGTTGTAATGCCTTGAATCTCACCCCTTACAGCTCCGGATCCGGAGAGGTCCGGATCCAGAGAAGTCCGACTTTCGTGAAATCCAAATTCCGGAGAAGTCGAGAAATCTGAATTCCAGAGAAGTCGAGAAATCCGAATTCCGGAGAAGTCGAGAAATCCGAATTCTGGAGAAGTCGAGAAATCCGAATTCCGGAGAAGTCGAGAAATCCAAATCCTGAGATGACCGAATCCCTTTCTAATTGGGCTTCTAATTATCTGTTAATTCTGTAGTTTGGGGCCCAAGTCTGTTAGGGTTTAGCCAAGCACTATTTATATGGGTGCTACTACAAACCCTATGTTGTATTCTGTTTTTGCCTCTCCATCCAAAATAAAACTGCTCCCCCTCTTCCCCGTGGACTAGCCAACACAACGTTGGTGAACCACATTAAATCTGTTGTCGTATTTTTTCTCGTTTATATAACTGTTATTCTCGAATTCCGCATAACAAATTGGTGTCAGAGCCACCAGGTTAATCGGTGTTCTTGGAGAATCTCAAGATGTTTGCTTTGAACGTAAAAATCGACAAATTCACGGGGAGGAACAGTTTCAGTTTATGGAAGATCAAGATGCGGGCTTTGTTGAAACAACAAGGCTTCTGGGCGCCGTTGTCGAAAGACAAAAACGCCGTCGCTACTCCTGAGATGGCGACTCTGGAAGAGAAGGCACACTCGACGGTCATGCTGTGTCTGTCAGATGACGTTATCACGGAGGTCTCAGACGAGGAGACTGCTGCTGGCTTGTGGTTAAAGTTGGAGAGTCTGTACATGACAAAATCTTTAACCATTAAGTTACTTCTGAAACAACGTCTATTCGGTTTACGAATGGCTGAAGGTACACCACTCAGGGAACATCTAGAGCAATTAAATACTTTGTTATTAGAATTGCGTAATACCGATGTGAAGATCGAGGGTGAAGATGCTGCCCTGATTCTGTTGGTATCTCTCCCAATATCGTTTGAGAATTTTGTTCAATCGTTCATTGTTGGGAAAGATGCTGTGTCTCTGGAAGAAGTTAGATCGGCCCTTCATAGCAGGGAATTGCGGCATAAGGCTAACGACACGAGTACAGATGTACAACCTTCCGGCCTATTCACCAGTACTGGAAAGGGAAAGAAATACGGCGGAAAGAAGGAGAGAAAGTCGCCGTCAAAGGGTGCAAAGCCGGATGATGTCTGTAATTACTGCAAGAAGAAGGGGCATTAGAAATTTGATTGCCCGAAGAAAAAGAAGCAATCGAAAAAACAATCAGTCTCTACTGCTGTTGTTGAGGAAGACACCAATTCTGAAGAAGACATTGCCTTAGTTGCTGATGAAAACACTCATCACTCAGATGTGTGGGTTTTAGATTCTGGGGCATCCTATCATATCTGTCCAAGGAGAGAGTGGTTCACGACTTATGAGCAGATAGACGGAGGGAACATCTCGATGGCCAACAGTTCTAACTACAAGGTGGTTGGGACAAGCTCGATCAAGATTAGGACACATGATGGTAGCTTCTGCACATTGAACGAGGTCAGGCACGTACCATTGATGACAAAGAATCTGATATCTCTTAGTCTTTTGGACAGCAAGGGGTTCAGTTGGTCAGGAAAAGATGGAGTTTTGCGCGTCTGGAAGGGTTCAAATCTGATTCTGAAAGGTGTCATGTGGGGTACTTTGTATTTTCTACAAGGTTCCACGGTTATAGGTTCAGTCCATGTTGCATCATCAGAAGTTAAATAGGAAGATATGACCAAGTTGTGGCATATGATACTTGGTCATATGGGTGAAAAAGGGATGCAAATTCTGTCAAAGGAGGATCTTCTTGCTGGTCATAAAGTAAAAGGCCTAGAGTTCTGTGAACATTGTGTTTTTGGAAAAGTACATCGCAATAAGTTTCCAAAGGCCATTCATAGAACAAAAGGCACACTTGATTACATCCATTCTGATTGCTGGGGTCCATGCCGAGTTGAGTCTTTGGGAGGATGCATATTTTTTGTGTCAATTATTGACGATTACTCAAGGATGACTTGGGTGTACATGATGAAGCATAAAAGTGAAGCTCTCCAGAAGTTCAAGGAGTGGAAAACATTGATGGAAAATCAAACAGGGAAGAAGATCAAGAGGTTGCAAACTGATAATGGGATGGAATTCTGTTGGTCTGAATTTGATCAATTCTGTAAGGATGAAGGGATTGCTCGACATCGTACAGTCAGAAATACACCACAACAGAACGGTGTAGCTGAGCGGATGAATCAAACACTTCTGGAGAGAGCAAGGTGCATGCTCTCTAATGCTGGGCTAGACAGAAGGTTCTGGGCAGAAGCGGTTAGTACAGCTTGCTCCTTGATTAACCGCGGACCACATACAGGCATACAGTGTAAGACACCTATGGAGATGTGGTCAGGAAAAGCTGCAGATTATTCAAACCTGAGAGTTTTTGGCTGTACAGCTTACTATCATGTCAGTGAAGGGAAGCTAGAACCACGAGCTAAAAAGGGAGTATTTGTGGGCTACGGAGATGGAGTGAAAGGTTTTAGAATCTGGTCTCCGGCAGAAAAGAGGGTTATTCTGAGCAGAAACGTTGTCTTTGATGAAAGTTCTCTGTTTAGAACCACTTTGAAGCCTATAACTACGACAGAAATTGATAGTCTTGATAAACAGGTGGAGCTTCAAGTCATTCAGAACGAGAGTGATATGAAAGAACCTGAAGAGGAAAATCAAGAGCCATAGACAGAAACTGATTTTCAGGGGTCTATGCCATCAGATACCCATTGTAGTATAGCTCAAGATCGACCAAGAAGGGTTGGAGTTCGTCCACCTACGAGGTATAGTTTTGAGGACATGGTGGGTTATGCACTGCAGGTTGCTGAAGAGGTCGATACTTCTGAACCATCTACTTACAGAGAAGCTGTTTTAAGTTCTGATTCTGAAAAATGGTTAGCCGCTATGGGAGATGAGATGGAGTCTCTGCATAAGAATCAAACATGGGATCTTGTCATACAGCCTCCGGGGAGAAAGATTATTACCTGCAAATGGGTTTTCAAGAAGAAGGAAGGAATATCACCAGCAGAAGGGGTTAAGTATAAAGCCAGGGTCGTTGCGAGAGGTTTCAACCAAAGAGAGGGAGTGGACTACAATGAGATCTTCTCACCTGTGGTCAGACATACTTCCATCCGCGTGTTACTAGCGATAGTTGCACATCAAAATTTGGAGCTCGAACAACTTGATGTGAAGACAACATTCCTACATGGAGAGTTAGAGGAAGAGATATACATGACTCAGCCGGATGGTTTCCAAGTTCCAGGGAAGGAAAGTCACGTTTGCAAGTTGAAGAAGTCCTTATACGGACTTAAGCAGTCCCCAAGGCAGTGGTACAAAAGATTTGACAGCTATATGGTGAAGTTGGGATATACCTGGAGCTCATATGATTGTTGTGTCTTATACAATAGGCTCAAAGATGATTCATTCATCTATCTGGTGCTTTATGTAGATGATATGTTGATAGCTGCAAAGCAGAAGTATGACGTCCAGAAGCTGAAGGGTTTACTTAGTGCTGAGTTTGAGATGAAGGATCTGGGAGCCGCTCAAAAGATTTTAGGGATGGAGATCATTAGAGACAGAGAGAAAAGGAAATTTTTCTTGTCACAAAGAGGCTACATTCAGAAGGTCTTGACGAGGTTTGGCATGTCTTCATCTAAACCTATTGACACCCCAGTGCTGCCAATATCCATCTCACTGCCATGTTCGCTCCACAGTCAGAAGAAGAGAAGGAGTATATGTCACGAGTCCCTTATGCCAGTGCTGTGGGAAGTTTGATGTATGCTATGGTCTGTACAAGGCCAGATTTAGCACATGCAGTGAGTGTAGTTAGCAGATTCATGGGACAACCAGGGAGAGAACACTGGCAGGCTGTGAAGAGGATTTTCCGGTACCTTAGGGGTACATCTGACGTTGGTCTCATCTATGGAGGTGATACTCAGTATTCGATTACAGGATTTTCTGATTCTGACTATGCTGGAGATGTTGACACGAGGAGATCGATGACTGGCTATGTGTTTACTCTTGGAGGTTCTGTTGTTAGCTGGAAGGCAACTTTGCAACCTACAGTGACTTTGTCAACTACGGAAGCAGAGTACATGGCCTTGACAGAAGCTGCAAAAGAGGGAATTTGGTTGAAAGGGCTGGTTAATGATCTTGGTCTGCATCATGATAAGGCCACAGTGTATTGTGATAGCTTGAGCGCGATCTGTCTAGCCAAGGATCAAGTCCATCATGAGAGAACCAAGCATATTGACGTGAGGTATCATTTCCTGAGGAGTGAGAGGAGAATCCAGGTGAAGAAAGTAGGAACTGCTGATAACCCTGCTGATATGTTCACAAAGCCGGTTCCGCAAAGCAAGTTTCAACACTGTTTGGACTTGCTTAACATCAGAAGCTGTTAGTTGCCCTGCGGGGCAATTCTGAGGAAGAGGGGGAGGCCTGGCACAACCATAGTGCGTCTGAAGAATCTGTATGGAAAATTCAAGTCAAGGTTGAGATTTGTTGTAATGCCTTGAATCTGACCCGTTACAGCTCCGGATCCAGAGAGGTCCGGATCCGGAGAAGTCCGACTTTTGTGAAATCCGAATTCCAGAGAAGTCGAGAAATCCGAATTCCGGAGAAGTCGAGAAATCCGAATCGTGAGATGACCGAATCCCTTTCTAATTAGGCTTCTAATTATCTGTTAATTCTGTAGTTTGGGGCCCAAGTCTGTTAGGGTTTAGCCAAGCACTATTTATATGGGTGCTACTACAAACCCTATGTTGTATTCTGTTATTGCCTCTCCATCCGAAATAAAACTGCTCCCCCTCTTCCCCGTGGACTAGCCAACACAACGTTGGTGAACCACGTTAAATCTGTTGTCGTGTTTTTTCTCGTTTATATAACTGTTATTCTCGAATTCCGCATAACAGATACTATTGAGGATATAACCTTAGATAGGAGTGTTTGGAGAGCTAAGACTAAGGTGGTCGGGTAGGCGTTTGGGCTTGGTGGCTGTTTTGGCACTTGTCCTTCTATGCTTTCTTTGTTTGGTGCTTTCTTCTTTCTGCTTAGTGAATGTCTGAATGTTTAATTGTTTTTCCTTTGTTAGCCTTAAATTGCTTTTGAATACTTTTTGCTCTATGCGGTGCTCTCTTTGCTGCATGTATTACTCAAGCTGGGGTCTCTTGGAAACAACTACCCTACTTTCCACTTTCCAGTAGTAGTAAGGTTTGGGTACACACACCCTCCTCAGACCTTACCGGGTTGATGTTGTGTTATACTATTGTTGATTAAGTGCTAGATACACTGTGTATTGTGTATACTGACTAAATATTATTCCCTCAGTCCAAAACTTTCTTTCCCAATTTGACTTGACATGGAGATTAAGAAAACTTAAAAAGTGTAAAGACTTTTCATGTTTTTCCTTGATGTGATGGAATAAAGTGAATAGTGTAGATAAAAAGTGGGGGTATAATGACACATTTATTAAAAGTTTTTTGCCAAAATAGAAAACATGAAAGAAATATTTGGACTGCCCAAAAAGGAAAGTGAGAAAGAAATTAATGGACGGTGGGAGTAATTTTTAAAATAAATACTGTGGATCCGCTAAAGACCCATTTACCCATTGGACCCATTGGATATGGGTAGCGTATGGGTCAAAACAAAAAATAATAGAATGGATCTGGGTTCACATGGACCCTTTGCAGTGTTATCTCTACTAAATACTAAATACACTATCATAATTGATGTGGTGATGTCCTCTTCTAAATTTGGTTTACTCAGTCTTAAAATGTGTCAAAAGAGATTGATTGTTGACTAAATATTTTCCCTATCTATATATTCATTAGCTACCGTAACTACTCATCTGCATCTCTCATTTGTTTAGTACTCTAACTCAACCCACATATATGATAAATATGGTATGAAGTTATCATAAATATATATTTGGTAAACTAGGTAAATGAATTCCTGTGTTTGGGCTATCCAGTCATGTCCCGAATCCTGATTTCAACTCAAAACTAAAATGCTTCTCAAGGTGTTAGTTGTTGATGTTCTTATAAAAGAGAACATGAGTTTCCCAATGAACAAATTGAGAACGCGCTTCATTTTATGTTGACATGAAGGCACTAAATTATTTTATTTGTTTTTTGAGGGCTGTAGGATGATCGCGATGGTGTCAAGACAATGAATGATGACAACTTCATAGATGATAGTGGTTTGGATCCTGCTGATAGGTATGGAAGTGATCATGAACCACAATCTCCTGGAACCTATCCACAGGTGAGAATACTACTCTTTATGGATTTTCATTCTCTTCATTTGCTTTGGAGTTTACTCATTACTACCCCTTGCCTCTAACTGTTCTACACACTTTTCTTTTCCAGACATCCTAAAAATTCCTTCTGTTTTCCCTTTAAGAAAGAATTGTGGTTGATATTGAATCTTTCCTTTAGTAAATCTCAACCCGCAGTTTCACTCCCTTTGTCCGGATTTAGTTGTCATCTTTCCTGCTTTTGTGTGCCCAAGTCCCAAGATCAGTTGTCCACTTTTCATATTTATTAAACTCATTGCAATGAATTAGCTAAAATACCATCCAAATGTAATAGCTTTGTAACTTTGTTGACGTTAATGATTAACAAGCTCATTTAAAGGGGTTATTTAATATTTTACCCACTTGGAAATTATACATTACTGTGGTGGCACAGTTACTAGTCATTTTTTTGCCTTTTGTGTTTTATTATTGCCAGGCAGAAGAAGGTGAAGAGGACGATGAAATAAAGGAACTATTCAAGATGGGAAAGAAAAAGAAGAAAAATGAAAAAAGTGCTCATGAAATTTCATTATTAGTTGAAAATGTAATGGCTGAACTAGAAGTTGTTGCAGAAGAAGATGCTGACTTGAATAGACAGTCTAAACCTGCTATCATTAAACTCAAAAAGCTGCCTCTTCTTATTGATGTCCTGTCAAAGTGAGTGCATATTGTTTTAAATATATGGAGGCCCCTTCTCATAATTTGCTTGATTGTAAGTTTCCAGTGGCCTATCTTTCTCCACTAATTTTCAGTTTTCAGGAAACAGCTTCAACAAGAATTTTTAGACCATGGAGTGTTGACGCTTTTAAGGACTTGGCTTGAGCCCCTTCCAGATGGAAGCCTGCCCAACATAAATATTCGTGCAGCAATCTTAAAAATCTTAACAGATGTATGGAATGTGAAGTTTCATGTGAGATTACCTTTGATGCTTTGTTATAATTCTTTAAACTGGAAATGTTTTGTCATACTGCAGTATCCAATTGATTTAGAACAGTATGATAGAAGGGAGCAGTTGAAACAGAGTGGTCTTGGAAAGGTGAGTCAAACATAAGAAGATCATGCTATTACATGTATTTTGACTGCCACCCTTTTACGAAATATCTCTTTATAAATTATAATATCCACTTGTTAGCAGGTAATCATGTTTCTTTCGAAGTCGGATGAAGAGACCACGGCTAATCGGAAACTTGCAAAGGACTTGGTTGATAAATGGGTACTTTTGATTTATATTATTTTTTTATGTGTATTAAGGCTGTGTTTGAGTTCCAGAAAATGCTTAGGGCAAGGAAAAAATACAATGCAATGAAATATGGTTAATTTTTTGAAATTTTTATACTCCCTCCGTCCAACTTTTATCTTCCCACCTTATTTGGTTCTCCAAAAATCATCTTCCCATTTCTATTTTAGGCAGAGAATCCATTTGAAAATGTCTATCATGCCCCTCATATCTTTTTCTTCATTTACTTCACCCCACAGTCAACTACTTCGATTATACGAAGTATCACCTCCACTGGACAGGCTCATCAATTTACCTTCTTCTTCTTTGATTTCAAAAAATAAAAATCTTCTTCTTCTTCCATTTTCATATCCCACAACCCACTGATTCTTCTTCTTTTTTCTTTTCATGCTCACAACGTTAGTGATTTATTTTTCTTCTTCTTCGATTGATTCCCCCCCTCACCACCACCCCCACTACCCAATTGAACATAGTTGGATCTAAGGGTGGAAAAGTGTGTCAATGGCTTATGCGACTGTGAGAGTGGGGGATGGAGGAGCAGCTTCATCGACAAACTTCACAAGCAACGACGATCTGACTATTGGTGAAGATCTGAGCACAAAGATCTTAGGATCTGATGAAGGTGAAGATATGAAGATCTGACGAGCAGCGACTTCCTCGGTGAACATCATCTCGGTGAAGATCTGATGGAGGTGCTTGTGGGAGCGATGGAGATTTGAAACATGAAGCTCACAGATCGGATCGAAGTGGGGAGGATGAATGGCGGACAAAGAAGAAAGACTGTCAAGAAAAAGGTGGAGACTTTTCTTAAACTCCGTGCCCGGTCAAACCGGGAAGTTTTTTTTGGACTGAGGGAGTATATGTTTCTGTATTCATTATGTAATAGAATTACATAAATAAAAGAGTAAATTTCATAATTGGTCCTTTATAACAGGAGAGTTTCCATATTTAGTCTTCTATTATCAAATATTACCCCCGTAGTCTCTATTTAAGGGTGTCTTTCCACAAATGGTCCTTTTTTGATCTGCTGCCATGTTGGTGTTAATTTAAAGGCTAAAAGTATATTTTGACACCAACATTATGTCTAGTGACGTGTTCTGATATTGATTAAGCGGATAACACAAAAATAATGACTATGACTATGAGTGTAGGCTAGCATTCCGACGAAAGACCACATTTGTAGACTGTGGTTGTAGTAGAAAGCGACTGTAATTCACAAACGACGCAAACGGAACAACCTTTGGAATTGTGTATGACAAAAAAGATATATTATCATTATGAAATTATACTTTTAGCCTTCAAATTAACACCAACATGATAAAAGATAAAAAAAGGACTATTTGTGGAAGGATACCCATAAAAGGACCACTGGGGTAATATTTGATAATAGAGGACTAAATAGGGAAACCCCCCTATTATAAAAGACCAATTATGAAATTTACTCTAAATAAAATGAGGTTGAACAAATAAATTTTTCATGTTTGGACACATGGTTTCTTTTCTCCCATGTTCTTTCCTTCCTAATTGCTTTCATATTTTCTTTCCTGAGCATTTTGTGTTCCAAACATAAGGTTGATATGATTTTCTATTATTTTATTTTTCTTGTGTATAAAGTGTTAATGCGAATAAAATGCTCATAGATCTATCAACTTTTGATAAGGTACAATTTCTGATGGTTCTAAGTTTCTAAGTCATCTGTTCAAATTCTAATCGTTTGGGAAATGACTTGGATGTCATCACTATTGCATCTTGTATTGGAAAAATTATGTGTGCTTTTTAGTCTATGCACAAACCTTTTGAGGCTCTGGCGGGATTTATGCTTAGGCAAAAATTGTTTTATGGGCCAATACATGTTTTTTAATTTGCTGCCTTACACTCAAACTCAATTGGTTCAGAGTCGACCCATTTTCAACAAGAGTACGAGGTTTGAGGACATGAAGAACTTTCAAGAAGAGAGGGCTGCTTATAGGAGGCCACCTGTGAAAAAGTATCTAACAACTCATTGCATTCTCGTTTTTATGAGACTTAGATGTGTCCAGTCCCATTGATGACTTATTGTATCATTTACTTCATGATAGGCCAATTAATAAAGCTTCTGGAATGCAATCTAGGGATGATGACCTTGACTTGGCTGAATTTTCACAGTAAAACTTTACGATTCATACCTATTTAATTATGAGAAACACGTGCGACGTGCCTCATTACTTTGCCTACATTCCCAGTATCTCCAAGATTTATAATTGAATATTTATGAAAATTTTGCAGGGGGGTGAGGTCTGGTCAGTCATCCAAATCCAGGCAACTTACTTCACGACCTGAGGCTATGCTGATGGATTTTGTTGTTCGGCCTCAATCAAAGGTTGATCCAGATGAAGTTAGGGCCAGGGCGAAACAAATAGTGCAAGACCAGCGTCGCCTCAAGGTTAGTCCTTGGTATTTTGTTATATTTCGAGATATTAGTTCTGAGTTTCTCTTTCAATTGGCTGACTATGCTTTGAGGCTTGAGCCTTTTGAGCATTATATATTCTCTCTCAAGTGGATTTAAGATTACACACCACACTTTTATACTAATGCTAAAACAAGATGAATTGAAATATTACGTCACTATGTATGTATGGGAAATCCCGGAACTTCTCCATGCCGACTCCCATAGGACATTGATGCAGGGAGTATGTATATATTTCTTCTTAATCTTCCATTAAGATTTAAGAAGCATGCCAAGTCAAAATGAGAAGAAATATATGTGACGGAGGAAGTTGTATATAAAAACTATAGCAAGAAAATTTAAAAGACATTGTAAGCCAAATGTGTTTTATATTATACTGGTACAATACTCTCTATTAATAATACGGAGTAATTCCAAAAAAAACGAGAACCAACACAATTAATTTTTGGTGCATTTGACCTATGCTCTTTCAACTTGCAGATGAATAAGAAGTTGCAACAACTAAAAGCACCTAAAAAGAAGTCTCTCCAAGCTTCAAAAGTGAGCGTGGAGGGTCGCGGAATGGTCAAGTATTTGTAGTGCTTTCGCATGGTACGTAAAACCCGGTGCGCTGCCTCATTTCACACACGGACCCGAGGAAAATGTTAGCCATCAACTTAGTAACTTACAAATGCAAACTTGACGATCTTTTAATTATTTCTCAGGTACACTGCCACAATCTCTCCATGCGATGATATATTATACTGGCTATTATAGGTTTAAGTTTTAAATATTCTTGCATGTGTATTTAAATGATAAATGATACTCCGTAAGTAATTTTTGTTACATAATGAGCTACCGGGCAAATGCTTTCAAAAAAAATAAAATAATAATTACGTGTGTACTTTCTCTATTTTATGGTACTTCCCATCTTCTACCATCTCAAAATTGAGACTAGACGAGATACTCGGTACAATTGATTTTAGATCGGTCTGATTTCTTCAAAAAATTAGACCCATCAATTAAATCAGTCCGAACCAAAACCAAACCCATTCAATCCAATCAAGCCCAAAGCCAAGCCAAACTACAAAAGGAAAATAATTGGGTTAGAACAATCGGCCCACTTCCTCTTTCCATTTTTTTCTTACGGCTGACAGGTTTCTCCTTTGGAAAGGGCGCTGATCGGAAACAGCAGCGGTGCTTCTCGGTGGGTGGCGGTCTGCGAGACCTGCGCTTCTTCGATCTGGACTACCTGGTTCGTGTTGGCTCGATCTCACGTTGGCCGGTGGCGCTCACGCCGTGCGGACATGGACTGTGCGCATACTGCGGCGATGGCTCGGCAGCTCAATATTTTTGCGATCGGCTCGGCGCTCTCACTCGCTCCTGCTACGCGCACTAGATCTCCACACTTGCAGCGGTCTTCTCCTATGCGTGCGACGGATCATCGAACAAGTGGTGGCTCCTCCGTTGCGCAACTCGATTGAACTAGCGGTGCCTGCTGCTTGGTCCTTCATCGGTTGCGGCTCAACCTTACTGCATGACCCTTGAGATCAAAAGTCCTAGGTGACAATCTTCGCGCAATTTGTGTTCTAGCTGTTGAACGTCGCTCCGACATCAATTGTTGGGAAATTAAACGCAAAACACACAAATATCTGTGAAAAAACGAGCGAAAAACGGAGCACAAGCGACACAAAATTTTTTAAGTGGTTTGATTTTCTTAATCCACTGCTCCAACAGAAGTTGTATTTCACTTGTGGTGCCTGTATTACAAATACTCCATCCGTTTGGGAAAACACTTCATCTTTCACTTTTTTGCTTTTACAGTTTAATAAAACACTTCCTTTTTTGATCAAATTGGTTAATATATCCAAATAAAGTCATTCCAATATACTCCATCTATTTTGTACTGATATAATAAGTGACTTAAGTAATTTGTCACTCCTTTCTTTTCGACGTTAATGATTTAAATGGAAAGCCAAATTACAAAATTAAATCCTACAAAAGTTAAAACCAGAAGTGTTTTGAAGAACGGAGAGAGTACAAGTTTGTTTGGCTACATCTAAGGTTTCATAACATGGGTTGGGCCTAGCCAACACCAAGCCTCCACAAAATCCAACACGTATGTTGTCATACTGCTCTCCCTTTATAAATGGCGATGAGGTTTTGCGCTTAAACTCGGACACAATAGGGTATTACATTGTAGTTCATTAAACTGAAGTCTCTCTCTTTATAAATGGCGATGAGGTTTTGCTCTTAAACCAAGACATAAACTGAAGTCTCTCTCTCCAGAAAATTACTCACGGGTGACGCGAGTTTTGTCGAAATAACTCTCAGGTCCCTTTATTTTCAAAAATACAACGGAGGTCCTTACATTTTGTTGTAATGACTGGCAGGGGACATTCCATCCAATATTTCAACCATAAACGTTAATAAATGTATTTCTTCCTAGTTTTTTCCTTAATGTTTTATGGCAATAACTCTTAGGTCGCTCCTTTTTTATTTCTTTGTTTTTCTTTTTTTGTTATTGTTTTTTAAAGTGTTTTTTTAAAATTTCTTCTATAAAATCGTATAAAAATTCAAAATTATTTGTATGATATAAAAATAAATGAAATAAAAAAATTTCTAAAAACGAAAAAACTGAGTAATGGCAAAATTGGAAAAAATGGTAATGGCAAAATAGGAAAAAATGTATTTATTAACTCTTATAGATGAAGTATAGGATGAAATGTCACCTCCCAATCATTACAACAAAATGTAAGGACCTCTGTCGTCTTCTTGAAAATAGAGGAACCTGAGAGTTATTTCGACAAAATTCACGTCACCCATGAGTAATTTTCTGCTCTCTCTCTCTCGTGCGTGACTACCAATTTTGTGAATATTTCGTTGGTGGTCTTGCATTGAGACCCTTTCTTTACATCTTTTGCACAATTTTAAAAAAAATCATTTGATTGTACATATGCATTCCTTTCAATATGCAGAGTTAGAGAGGAAAGTGGTTGGTCCAATATTTATTTGTTCAATAATGCTAGTGTACTTCATTTGTACACTAAGGTTTTTAAGACACTTAATATCTCTACATGCACTAATGCTGAGACTTTGTATGTATCTCTAAAAGTTTTGGTATACAAATTGAGTACCTCAAACATTGCTTTTATCTGTTTTATGGAAAAGAAAAACAAAATGTATTTTTTATTAGTTAAAAAAACTAAAAATTTTAATTATGGATGGAGAAAATATTATTTATCAATATTTCAATAATTTTTACATATCGAAATGTGTAAATCATGTTTCAAGATTACACTCAAATTAAAACCTTTGAGGGTTCGTCTGGTACAATGAATTCAGAAAATGGAATTGAAATTGAAGACAATAATTCTAATTTTGTTGTTTGGTATGACAAAATATGTAGATTTGGAATTAGTAGTGCTAAAAATGTATTAGAATTGGGAAATTTAATTTCATCCAAATCAATCTCATAAAATTTCAACATCCACTTTCATTCCAACTTCATCAAATCCCTGTACCAAACATATCCTGAATAATTTAAAAAAGTGTTTTGTTATCTCAAAATACCACCAACAATTTCTTTATTTTGATGAATGATCTTCATATTCCATAAGCCATAAGATATCGAGTGCAATTAGCAGGTGTAATAAAGAGTTTTTTTGCATCATTTATTCCTAAATTTTCCAAAAATTGTACGGGTTCTTCCCACAATTTAAAATTTATACCAATGGTCCCTGAATATTTAGAAGTGTTGTATCAATTAACCCTCCGTGATTTGTTGGAGTTTGATGATGATGCTAGGGATTGATTAAGAGCTTGATCAAATCATATTCGAGATTCGAGTTTGTAAATCGACGGCTTAAGCAGTTTAAAAATATAAAAAATAAGGTTTGAGAAGAACATATTATGGAATTGATAAATCAATACTTGCACAATTGCACCCGATGATCATTTGATTAACGCATTCCTAATTCTGGCACAGAAAGATCACCGATGTAAAAATTTTAATGTTCAAGACCATGTGCGTGATCTTTAAAATTCGAGGAGATTTTGAGCAATTTTTAAAGACGTCAGGATTAAATGACACAAAGAACTTGTTTATAAAAATAATTTTATGTGTTAGACGAACTAGAAAAGTATTAATCTAATCAAAGTAAAATACTCCCTCCATCTAGTTTAGATTACATGTTTTAATTTACGATATTTGAGTGAGGTTATTTTCACATTATTTTATATAATAAACTAAATAGTGTACAATTAAAAAATAAAAATTATATATTTAAAAAGTATATCAAAACATCTATAAAAGTAGTAGCGACGTGATTATATTATTTTATCAAATGACTAACAAACATATAAAAAAGTATAGAATTTGATCATATATATAGTAAATAGACAATTTAATTTGGACGGAAGGGACTAAAAAAGAGGAAGCCCTTCAATGATAAATAATTACAAACCACTTGATTGAAGTTACACACACCCAAAGCACCTGAACTAGGGACACAAAGAAATGCTAGAATTACAAATTTTTTAGTCATAAAATATAATAACTTACCATTTATATATTTAAGTGTTTACTTTTTAATTTTTCACTTGATGAGGCACAAAAATGACAAGTTTATAAATTTTGTGACTAAAATATTTGTGACTTTAGCATTTCTCATACACATCACACAATGAAATGAAATCTCAATACAACAAGCTTAAAAGTTCAAACAAAAGAACCTAAGACAATATATATATATATATATATATATATATATATATATATATATATATATATATATATATATATATATATATATATAAGGAGTAAAGTAATTGTCATAATAAAGGCCACACATATTTTGCCATTTTTAAAAATGTTTGAAATCTCTAAATGAAAGAGAAAATAAAAGAAAAAACTACACACAAAATTACAGCTGCAGTAAAAATGCACCCAACAAACTCACCCCAGTGGTAATAGACATTACCCCGTCGAAACCAACGGCACCGTTAGCATCAGCAGCGTTCTGATCTGCGACCTCACCCGCCGGAGCATCGGCCGGAGAGTCGGTGGTGTGAGATTTAACTGGTTTGTGGTTCTTGCCGGAGTGTTTAGGAGACTCCGCCCTGTCCGCCACCTTGGAGGGCGACGGAGCAGGGGCGGGGGCGGCCGCCGGCTTGAAGAGCTCCTTCGGCATTAGGACCTCGTCGATCGAGAGAATGACCAACGGTTGTTTATCCCACAAGGTTTCTGTGATCCTCGCCTTGGTAATTTTCGTCTTCAGCGTCACTTCCTGGCCGTCGTTTTGAATGTTGACCTCGAAATTGTTGGCCCCGTCGGTGGCCAGAGTGTTCATGTCGCCGTTGTTTGACCTCAGCGACTGGAGCGGCTGGTACACTGGGATTCCGTGATACTCCAGCAGAGATTCCTTCCCGTCTTTGGTTAGATTTTTGAATTTCGGCATGAATTTCTTCATCGCCTCGTCTACCGGGCAGAAAATGGTTAATCCGCCCTCGATGTCGTCCTCGAACGTCTGTTTCGCCGGCGATCCGAGGAGCGTATCGGCGAATAGTTTGCACCCGTGAGCAGACATTATGTTCGTGATGCTCGTCTTGGTGGGGCCGGGAGCCGGCGCTTCAGCCGCCGCCGCCGACGGCAGAACCCTAGTGATGTGAATGACGGAAATGTTGTAGGGGATCTCTTCCACCGCCTTGACGAAGGTGGCCTGGAGCGGTTCTCCCTCGCCCTGACTACCGAATCCGACTTTTCCGGCTTCCAGATCCGCGATTTTGACGAATCCGGGAGCGGATCCGGTGGGCTGGAACATAGTGGCGGCCAGGGCGGAGCCATTGGCGAGCTGGCGGAGCTTCCTCCGGCCGTAATAGTCCAGGAGCACATGTAAGGAGAGGATGTTCTTGATAGTGTGGATGGAATGCTGCTGGGCGAGCAGATCCGCCATGGCGGCGTCGTCGACGGCGCAGACCGTAATAGTCCGGCGGCTGTTGATTTCCCCGGCAAGGCGGGTGAGTGATAAGTAGTGGTTGAAGGTGGAGAACTCGTTGTGCTTGGCCAGGATGCTGGTGATGTTGTGAGCTTCCGCCGCCGCAGATGGAAAAATTGCGAGTATCAGGGGGAGAAACACCGCGGCTGCGGCTGCCGGCGGCAGGAGCTGCATTTTACCGGTGGCGGTGGAAGGAAGGAATGAAGGTTGGACTGTGAAGAAGTGATAGAGAAGTCTGTGTTTGTGTTCAAATTTTACAGTACATTATATTTCTCGCCTCGAGGCCACTGTTTTACACTTTTACGGGGCAACGCCGTCTAATTATTGTGTTTAAGGTTTGTATTATGATTGATGGAAAATGACACGGAATACTTTCTTCAAAAAAAAAAAAAAGAATTAACTTAGGACTAGACCAATCACACTACCTCATTTTTACATCAGGCTAACATAGACACAAAATGTCTATGTTGTACATATATTTTATATCTCATGTTAGTGTACCCTTAGCATTGCCCAAGAAAAAAGGACATGATATGGGCATATGTGTGTCTCATACATTAAGACTTTCATGGACATACACATACATTTAATATCTATGTCTCATATGTGTATATTCAGGTATTGAATATCTGTGTCTTGACTTTAGTGTACAAATAGGGTAGCATTATTCACAGAAAAGGTATTCTAGAGAGACCCTAGTCAATATGCCTTTGATTATGTGGTATGGGGCGCGACTCAGAGGTCGATCGTTACAAGTCATCGCGCTTCCTCCGCCGTGCCACACTATGGTTTTGGTGCTTTGATTTCCTCTCCATGGGGCTAAAACGACCATAATGTCGTTACGAGTCAATCAAAGTCAAATGGCTCTTCAAAAATAACAACAATAGGATACAGTACAACTCGGTCTGATTTGAATTCTAGTTCGGCATTCTATAATGATATCAGCAAAAATACTCCATTATTAAAGGATCCACCGTCGTCCGCTTATCTCCTCTTCAGATCTAGAAGGAGATGCACGAGATCTGTTGGATGAAAAAAATGTAGATGAGCATTTTTGGGAAGTGAATATACTTTTAACATTTCTTTAAAAATGATTTTCGGTCAATTCAGGAAGAATGCTAGAGCTGGCAAAATAGTCCGTCAGATCGGGTTTGAGTTTGGTTACCTTGGGTTCGGGTTACTTCGGGTAAGTTCGGGTTCGGGTTGAGAGCTACATGTTCATGACCCAGTGTCATCGGGTTCGGATCGACCCAACGGGTTATGGCTTTCTTTATTTTTTTAAAATTTTAAGTAATTTTTACGAGGGAGTATCAATATTGCGAATAAAAAAACTAAATATGCATAAATTTTGAAAAAAAGTAAGATAATTATGTGATATCATTAGTAGTAATCAAAGAAATATAATTAAAATCTTATTTTTAGAACATTATATTACATACTAAAGCATATGATTTTGAAAAAATCCTATAATTGCGGTCGGGTGTGACCCATTTTAAAGGGTAATTTCAGGTTCGATCAACTTCAGGTCGGTCAGCAAAATCTTTGTTCAAAACCCAGTATTTTTGGATCGAGTCTCAAGTCAAAACACATGTCGGGTCATTTTTTGACATGCCTAAATACACTTTAAGAGAGTTGGAGTAAATAAATGATTTAAAGTGTTGAGATTGTAATAGTAATAGCAGTTTGGCAGTCACTTTTCTTTCTTTTTTTTTGTGTACTAATATAGAAGAGGAACTCTTCTAAATGGCTCTCAATAGAATTGCAGCAACTCTTTATATGTACATATCCTTGATTCTTCGTATGCATGAAGGTAGATAGAATCTTTACATGTTGCTTCCTTTTCAAAGACATTTAGCATCCATTCATCTGTCACACCACCACTCTATTATTCCTTTTTTAAGGTACTACTGTTGCCTAATTTAAGAAAAGTACTTTTTTTATTTAGGAATTAGGATGTGTGTTCATTTAAGTTTTTAAAATATTACTCCCTCCGTTTGCAAAAAGACTTCCCATTTTGATTTGGGTGCAAAAATAAGGAAGTGTTAAGTTATACTCCTTCCGTCCTATATTTTTCTTCCCAGAGCACTATTCCAACTTCACGGGAATTTATATTTATTTGTGTTTTTTCATGGCCTATATGATAAAATAAAATATTCTTGTCACCACTTGTTTTGTTGAACTTTTGATGAAGTTTTTAAATATGTATGTTTTATTTTTTTTTATTTCTATACCAATATTTAAATAAAATAGATTAAAAAACTTAGGCTTTTTCTTCGTTTTGCGCAACGGGAAGAAAGATATAAGACGGAGGGGGGAGTATTTGATTTCCAATTTTGCACCTGATGTGATGAGTAAAAGTAAGATTTGATGGATAGATTATTAGAGGAAAAATATGATGTGACAGGTAGGGTATGAAAAAGTAAGGGTAAAAGTGGTTTTTTAATAGAAAGGGGAAGTGTTTTGTTGGAAGTGGAAAAAATGAAAGAGGAAGTGTTTTTTAGAACGGAGGGAGTACTTGTATGTCATACTCCGAATTTCTTATAACCAGTGGATTATACTCTTTTCTGTTCCATTTTACGCTGTTCTTATGATATTTGACTAAAGTTATCTTTGCACTAATTTGTATAAAAAATGGTCGTAAATTTTAAAGATAAATTTTATATAGTATTTTAACACTACTCTGATGACATTTTAATATGATGTTTGAATTTAAATGATTTTAAATTTTTTGAAAAATATTCTATGTGAATACTAATTTGGTAGCAATCTGACTCCTTGACATATGTATTCGAGTTAGGCAAATTGAGGCATTTCTTTTTGTTATCAAAGGACATCATTATTCAGTTCACCAATGAACGACTTTCAAAAGTTACATTTGCATTTCTCACAATCTCCTTGCCCCGGAAAGTAGGCCTTCACAAACTCAGCTCGGTCCGTCTGACCCGCCTATCCCACCCTTAGAAATAGGCAGATATGAACAAATATATAAATCCATCCAGGCTAACCCACAAGATAGTATGAACTAACAGACTTGGGCATTGGGTTTGGCCCACCCACATTATATAAATATATATAAATATACTCTGTAACGTAACATACACACATATACTCCGTATCATACTACTATATTATATATACAATATATTATACAAATGGTGTCTTTTTGGAATTATATAATATAATACTCTGTATGAAATAATTCATTATAATATGAAATAAAATAATAGATAGAAATACTTTATTCATATTATAATGTTGTATGATGTAAAAATTATATTATATTCATTACAATAGAAATTAGTATATTAGGTACAGATATTTTATATATTATAAAAAAGAATATATATTACAAAGTTACGGGCCGAGCCCTGTTAGGGTCACTTTCATGGGCGAATATGGACATAATGTTTGGTCCGAATTATGCGGGCAGGTTGCCCCGCCTAGATATATGGGCAAATAATTGACCTCAGGCCCAATCTTGATCCGGCCCAGAAGGTAATAAGACTTTATTTGCCTTGCATCTTATTATGTGATGATGTCTAATTAGAAAAGTTTTAGGGGCGGTTTGTTTCAGCCTCTTAATGGTTCAGATGTTTGAATGATTCAGCACTTAATGGTTCAGACTGTTTGTTTCAGCCTCTTAATGGTTCAGATGTCTGAATGGTTAAGAGATTTGCCTCTGAATGGTTAAATATTATACAGAGTCTGAATGGTTAAGAACTGTTATCTGAATTGATCAGACATTTGCCTCTGAATAGTTAAGCAATATACTAGCTCTTAATGGTTCAGACCTCTTACTGGTTCAGCACTTAATGATTCAGACCTTTTACTGGTTCAGCACTTACTCATTCAGAAGTTGCCAAACAGCCCCTTAATGTTATAGAATGAATCAAGCGTCTTAATGTAACTTTGGTCCTCGGTGACCGGTGTCAAAAGAACCCAACTCATATGCTGAATACTAAAACCTAGTATCCAACTAATGAACTCCAGACCTTAAACTCCGTCCAAAAGACCTCAATGGAAAGGGGCAGTCGCAAATACGAGTGTTAGTCGATACTCCCTCCGTCCCAAAAAGTTCGACACGTTTCGAAAAAACTGCGTCCCGTAAAGTCTGTTACATTTCTATTAAAAAACCACTTTTACTCCTTACCTTTTCATACCCTACCTATCACATCATATCTTTTTCCTAATAATCTACCCATCACATCCTACTTTTACCCATCAAATCAAGAGTATTTTTGGAAAGTCAACACCAAAATATCTCTCCCTTAATTTCCCAAAAAGTCAATATGTACCAATCTTTTTGAGACGGAGGGAGTATTATCCTGGGCGCAAGCCATTGGGTTCGAGACTGATTTTTAGAATGAAGTGTTTTGTTGCGATTATAAAAAAATCATAAACGGGTAAACATGAAAAATACCAATTAGTCCCTCAACATTGTTTCTCTTCACTTTTTCCATGCTTAGCAACAAAAAATATTGACAAAAACAAGTTTGCATTATGTTAAAAAGAGAAAAAAGAAGAAGCTGAGTGATAGTGACATAATATGCATGGGCCACCATGACACCAAAACTCAGCTTGCACAAATGACAAACCCATATTTTCTTTTGAAAACTCAAAAGCAACCAAACAAGAGGAACAAAGGGCTTGTCAAAAATACTGTCCCCAACCTTTTTTTTCCTCCTATGGGACTTCATCAAACTTGCTGGAATCTGTTGAAATCAGCAGCCCTTTCTTCTCTTCATCCTTTGTGCACTGCCTCTCCATTTCAATAGTGGTGAGTTTTTTTGCCTTCAATGCCTCTCCCTCCCAATCTGTGCAGCAGAGGACGGCATAAAGGATGGAAACAGCACAGGCCACTTGCGCTGACAGCAGACCGAACCAGAGGCCGCTGAAACCAACTTTGAGCCAGAATGCCAAGCCCACCGCCACAGGGGTGCCCACAAAGTAGAACGAACCGAGATTGATGCGGGCTCCGACTGCTGGCCTGGCAGTGCCGCGGAGAATCCCACAACCTGTAGTTTGTGGGCAGTTGCCAAGCTCACACAAGCCAATTATGGGCAGAACAGAAGCAACCAGAGCTTTAAGCATCTCATCTTTTGTAAAGAGGCCTCCCCATTTCTCCCTGAAGATTACTGTCCATATGACATTCACGAATCCAATTACAACTGCACAGCCCATAGCAACCATTGCCGCTAGCCTTGCCTTATAAGGCTTTCCAGCTCCCAATTCATTTCCTACCTGAATGAATATACAGAACAAATAAAACATTTATTTACATAAGAACGATTTTCGCATGGCAAAGTATGCTTAGTGTGGGCAAAAATGGTATACGGGGCCTCACCTCGTTCATGTAACAACGTATTAGGAATTATTGCGATTAAATGTGATTCATACTATTCTTAAACATCTTCATGTTTCGTGTTTCATGCAGTACCTTAAAACATCTTCATGTTTCATGGAGTACATTTTATGCTTCAACTCTTTCCAAGTTGTTCATGGATTTGATGTTTAATAGGGTGATGGAGTTTGGACACGTGCACTATATAACTCCCTCCGTTCACTAAGAAGTTACTTCTTTGAGTTCACGGAAATTATGAAAGATGTGTTGTAAAGTAAAAAGTGGGTGGTTAGTACTTGTTTGGTAGAGAGAAATAATGTGAGCCACATATTCATTTCCATAGAAGGAAAAGGTTGAAGTTTGAACTTTTTTTGGGACATCCAAGAAATAGCCAAATACGTGCGAACTTTTTTGTGGGATGGAAAAATTAGATAATGCAAAATAAAGGTTTGTAATTTTACTATCTAGCTAGGAGCTTAGTAATCAGTGGGTACTCCCAAGTGCCAAGTAATTGGTCCTAACTACTACTCGGCCCTTCACCAAGTTGCTACCGAGGAACACGTTAACAGCTTAGCCAAGGTCACTTAATTGGAACAAAATGCATACAAGTAAAACCATACTAAAAGATGCAAGTCAAACCATACGCAGTAATTTAATTTAATCGGGCTTACAAACTTTTATTTCTTTCCGTTAATATTTTGATGATGTATTCTTGATGCACCCGTTATATAAGGGTAGGTTTGTAAGTGAATTTTTGATTTGTTATATGTAGGGCAAAGTAAAATGTTGAGTAAATGTGATGTATTTAGTGTAACAAACTTTTAGACATTAACTTGGTTCTTAAAAGATATGAAGATTGATTTAGTGAGGAACATACCCGGGCAGAGACACAGCCGGCCAATGCCATGGGAACTGTATACATAAGGCTAGTGGTTTGAATCAGAATGCCCGTGGATGCCACAGCAAGTCGCGGATTGGGCAGGTATCCGGCAAGAACGGTCACAATCTCATACCACCACCACTCTAAACAAATCCCGATGCAGCTGGGCACTGCCAGCTTCAGCAAGGGCCCCACTCCTCCGAAAACCCCTTCCATCCCAGCCGTCAATTTCCACTCCCATCTCCCCCCGTAAGCGCACACGTACCCCATCATCAACACCATCATGTGCATGTTGGTGAGCACGGATGCCACGGCCACTCCGGGAACTCCCATTCCCAGCACCACCACCAGCACAAAGTTCAAGGGCACATGAAAGATCACAGCAATGAAAGTGCACCACATCTGAGGTTTGGTCACCCCTTGGGACCTCAGGTAAACCCTGAGTGGCTGCAACAGAGTGTTTGTTAACAGGTCAGGCAAGGAGTATAAACAGTAAGTCGCAGCCATTGAGGTGATGTCCTTATCTTGGGACATGAACAACATGATTGGCTCCAGATTCACCCAGAGGAGACTGATGGGTATGATGGCAAGCAATAATATGAAGATCATGCGGTGGAGAGACAGAAGGAGCAAGTCCCAGTTCTTATTGCCGTAGGCTTGGCTACAGACTGGCTCAAGCCCTGAGGCTAAACCAACTAGAACTGAGTAGCCTGTGATGTTTGTGAAGCCAATTGACAAGGCCCCACCCGCCAATTCAAGGCTCCCAAGCCTTCCCAAGAACAGAACAGAAACCACTGCTCTCACATAGACTAGACAATTCATGGCTGTTATTGGCAGAGCCATTCTCCATAGTTCCTTCAGTTCCTCCACAACCTTTGACATGCAAGCAAAACCTCAACAACCCAAAAATAAATAGTACACGTGAACGTGGGAATTTATAAGCTCGCGCGAATCGAGTTTACCTGAGAAGCTGATGGCTCTTTGTGAGAAAGAAAGTCTTGGTCTTTTTCAGCCATTGATGTTAGAACTTAGAAGAAGCTCTCAGAGTATCAGAGCTGCACGACCTCCCTCCAAAGCTGCAAATATTTATTCCAAGACAAGAATAATCCATGAGAATTAATCATATAGGATAATAGGAAAGGAGATGAACCAATCCATTGGCCACACCCAACAGCACAATAAATTGAAGAATAAATAAAGAAAAGATGTAAAGGCAAAGGCAGAACAGTTAATAATATAATATACCCACCTAAATGAGAATGATATTCTTAAAGAATGATGAAGGTTATATAATGATATACAAAGGGGGGAGAGGATATGAGTTGTATTAGCTTTCGTGGATAAGTGATATGACATATGTTGAAATATTGTCTATCAAAAATTCATCAATATACAGGTTCCAAAAGTATAAAGCTCAACAGTTGAAAAGACATTTGAGAAGCAGGACAATTTCTGTAAGATACTTTGTGCCCTATAATAATTAAAAGACAATACTCTTTCCTGCCCCATATTGTCTGTCTAATTTGTACAATACAGCAACATAACCCCGGTGCCTCAAAGGCTCCTGTCCATTGCAGTGTGGGGGGAGGGGGTCGGATGTAGGCAGCCTTACCCCTACGTTTAAAATATATAGCGGCTGTTATCTAAATGATCCATGATGAGCGTTGAAAGTTGCATTGACTAATTGTTACTTAACTATAAAAGAAGCACATATAGTTTAAAAGGCCATTTTGCTTTCTTCTATCATACCCAAAAGCCAAAAAGTAGCAAATCTTTGGCTCCATAGGAGATGATGGAATGTCGGATTTGTACAATGGCTAAACTAATATTAGCTTAATTTTTAAATGTTTAATTTGATATTCATTAGAAATAGTAAATAGGATATCCAACTTGTTAATTTTCCAAAAAAAGACCTTTTACACCGACTATGATTGCATTTATACTACTAAAAATAGGACAAATTAACTCTAATATTACAACTTCTAAAGGATGTGCAGTTATTGTAACGACCTTAACTTTTTTTATTAAAAAAATAACACATCCTTTGCATATTGTGCTAACCAGTGTCACACCATCATCACTTATAAAGAATTGCAACAGATTTGATTGAATCGACACCACGAGGAAGATGCATCAAAACCTGCCAACAATGTTCACTTTGTCCATCACCCAAAACAATTAAAGCGCTAATTAACTAACAACATATGAATAACTATACATACAATTTAAAACTCTTATCCATTGAAATCTTGATGATTGTTTTTTTCCCTTGTGAAACACATAAATATAAGTTGGGGTATGAAATATTTAGTTAGAAAAGCATCACAGAGATAGCATTCCAAATTTCCATTTAAAAAAGTATGAGTAAATCTAGTGGTGGATGCAGAAAGTTATTTAAGTGGGGCCAATAATAATAAGACTGATCTCACACTGCTATTCAAAAGTGTCAATAATTAAACAAAAGATTTCATAGAAATTGATGTGCAAATTCAAATGCATTTTTCATTGAAAATGGCAATTTAATGGCAAGATATGACTTCTCTACACACTTTCATATTTTGAAACTGTTTTGATTCACACATTCAAAGATGTCTTGTTCAAAATATGACACCAAGGTAGTGCTTGTCCTTGTTCTTTTGGTGATTCCTCACATCTAATTTGAATTACTTTTCCCAAAAAAACTTTACCTATTTTGACTTTCACATAGTCTAAGAAAAGTGTATTGTCATAATTTGTTTCGATGAAAGAAATCTTGTGAATCACATGTTTATTACGGAGTACTAAAAAAGAAAACAAAACAAGTGCCTAGTATTTTTTGGACATCCAAGAAGGGAAAGCAGATAAAGTTTTTTTTTGGGGATTGAGGGAGGTAGGGAAACAAATAGAGAAAATGAAGATAAAACTTTTGAAGAAACACATGTAAACACTGCAAAGAATGCACTTTTAAACTACAACAATTAACACCAAAGTCAACACTTCTACACTAAAAATTTCTCCAAAACAAACAATAGAAAAACGAAAAATTTCAAGCGATGAGAAATCGAGGATTCCTCCTGAACTTCTATGCACAAAATAGAAATCCACGAAAACCTAAACAGAACAAATCCAAAACAAGTCCATTTTATTATTTAAAAAAAGCACAAAAAAAAAAACTAAGGAGCATTTAAAATACCAAAACAGGGAATGGTTGATTCGAATGAGTTAATGCGGTGGCCCTCGTGCGGTGGAAAACGACGTGGCGCCGGAGGTCTCCGCCGCGCGGTGCCGGCGTAGTTTAATTTCCGTATTCGGAAAAGTGACTACTAGATGTACGAGTTACTGTAATAGTAGTAGTCAAAGGCGGAAGAAAATGACTGGTTATAGTAGTGGAGTCAAGGGGGGTCAAAGCATTTTGTCACCATCAAACTTGTCACATGCTTTGTCTACAATTCATTCATTCTTCTCTTTTGGATTATTATTACAACCATGGTACACTCAAAAGCATGGGTGGCCCGGAGATTATGCAAAGTTGTCAATCGCACAGAGCTTCTAAAATTTTAGATTCTCATATTTTTAAATTTGTTAAAAATTTTAAAGGAGAAGTATTCTAAAATAATAAAATAGGGCCCAAAATATAAATTTATGACCGGACAAATTTTATTTTTTTATTTTTTAGGGCGGCCCTGCTCAAAAGTCTACCCCAAGTTATGACTCTTCACATTAACACAAAATGTTAGGTCAAAAAAAATTTGTATTGACATTTTGTGTCAATGTAAACCATCACACAAGTATTACATTAGCAAAAAATACTGGTACATGCATTTAGGGTACAAAGTGGAAAATAATTTTTGGTGTACAAATAGTTTAATTCTTATTATTAAAAAAAATCTACTTCTACACCACTTGATGCATACCAAGTTGTAAGGTTTGCACTGGAACTCAAAAGACACACATTGATATAAATTATTACTCTCTTCGTTCTAAAAATTTCTACCATGTTTGGTAATTCTACCTTTCATTTATTTGCGAAAAATAAGCATTTTTCAAAAATTCTGTTAAGTGGTAGTTAGTTTTTTAACAACAATCCAAACTCGCACATATGCGGAAAAATGAGATTATTTCCGGGGGATAAAAGTATGGGTGCCCCCCGTGGTTTACAAAAGGAGCGCCAAAACCTCCTTTGCTTTCAAAAGTTATTTGTAAAATCCCCGTGGTTTTTAAATGGTGCACGGATACCCCCTCTTGCCTATTTTACACATGAAATGACATTTCTGCCATTGGCTTTTCTCTATCTTCAAATTTCACTCTTTTCTTTACATTTTTTTGCTATACAGATAAATAAAATAAAATATACGCCCTCTTTCTCAAATTAAAAATTTTCATTTATTTAATTTTTTTTAAAAAATAATTTTTAAGAAAATGTTACAAAAATGAAATAAAATACACTTTTTCATTATAAGTAAAAGTAAAATAAACAAAATAAAAAATTGGATAACATATACTCACTCTATCTCTAGTTAAAAATTCTAACTTATTTGTTTTTAAAAATAAAATAATTTTAAAGACTTTAAAAATGAAGAACAGAAAGATGAAATAAAATATGGAGTTAAAGAAAAAGACTATTTTTTATATTTTTATTTCTTTTCATTACTTTTTTTAACTGTTATTGCTTTTTACTTTGTACATAATATTTTATTTTTCATTTTTTTTAACATTCTCCAAAAAATATTTTGTTTTCAAAAGTACATTATGAAAAATTCTAATTTGAGATGTAAAGCATATATTTTATTTTATATATTTGTATAATAAAGGAAATTGAAATCGGAAAAATTCAAGATCGGAGAAAACAAAGGGCATAAATGTCATTTTTGCTTTAAAAATAGGTAAGGGGGCATGTGTGCTTTATTTAGAAACCACAGGGACTTTACAAATAACTTTTGAAAACAGGGGGGTTTTGACGCCCTTTTTGTAAACCACAGGGGGTGCCCATGCTATTAACCCTTATTTCCAGTGACAGTAAAAATTGATATTATTTTTGAAAGAGTATGAAAAGATAAGATTATTTTTAGATAATTTTTCCTTGTTATTATTATTATTATCATCATCATCATTATAGAATGTTACTTAGACCTTGCAATTGGATGGATCGAATCAATTTCTGTTTGAATTTAATTTATTAGGTTTGGATATCTTTTAAGTATATGTTATAATCAGTTTGTTTTAATTTTTTTTGAATTTAACTTAGATTCATAAATTTTTCGGTTTGGTCTGATTCTAGATACATTTTGCTTCGGACATACTTTGATTTTAGATATAGTTTAGTTTAGATGTATTTTATTTCAAATATATTTTAGATATATATTATTTTTAAGAAAAATTGACATGAATATTTCAAGAAATTGACGACTTTATATTAATACTCTAAATTCAACAATTCACCTCATTGTTCCGAGAAATCACTTATTTTTACATTATTTTTGAGTAACAACGTGAAATTGTCAATTTCTCGGAGTATTCATATAAACTTTTCCTTAAATTTAAGAAACTTGAGTGAAAATAAGATCAAATCAGGTATATACAAAGATAAAGAGAAAAGGACCAAAATAAGAGTAAAAGAGATGTCATATCCTAAAATAGGAGTTGAAAGATAAAATCTCCAAAATAGGAGTGTTCACCCAATGATCTCCTTTATGCAGATTTGTTCTCCTCTTTGCCGTTCCATCAACACACTCTACCCTTTTCTTGGCTTCCCTGTTCACTTTGAGCCCATTTTAATTCATGAGGACAACCTAGACAAGAATTACTCATCTTCAATGGTCGCAGAAGAACTCCTTACTCATAGAGCTAAGGGACTGCCTTTGCACTTTCTTGACAATGGAATATGAAAGCTTAGAAAAATAAAATGTCATCACTAATTTGAATTGCTCACGGTGAGATTTAACTTATTTCTTACCCCGTTATAATTTATTAATGTATTTAAATGTTGATAAAATAAATGATATTCAAGTTATTAAGGCGGAACAACAAAAAAATGCTCTCTACCATTGTCGCAAAAACCACCAGCAGCAGCATAACCTGCATCGTCAACTTTACAGTGGCACATCAACTATCAAATATACTATCAAAAAAATATAATGTCAAACATGACACCATATAATGTCACAAATGACAATGCATAATGTCACAGATGCTCATATGCATTGTTAGAGATGCGAATTCACAGTGTCACACAAAGGCATAATGCCAAACCTCACACGTTGCCCTGTGTGATTGTCGGCAATCGTCACCCCTTTCACAACCACTTTTATGGTGGCCGGATGACCAACTGCTCTGACGGTTATGGACCTCGTTTTCCCAACATCAAATTGCCATCCCAAAGCATCCAAACAAAATTCAAAGAAAATAAAATTTAATTAAAGATTGAGAGAGAACCCGGTCATTCTTGAAATCAAGGCTTTGAGAGAGAACGATGAGGGTGGGATATGAATATGAGAGGGATGGGGGCGGCAGCGGCGATGGTACTGGAATTAGATGGCGGCAATGGCAGCAATTGTTATCATGTTATGGGACGTAGAGGCTAGGCGGCGGCCAAAATGAGATCGGCAGAAGAGGAATGAATTCTGCCAATTTTGGTTTTCGGGCAGTGTAAGAATGCACCATGATATTTTTTTATTTAATTAACTCCTATTTTGGGTATATAAGTTAGGGACTCTTATTTTAGGGATACACATAATGATTTACTCTTATTTGGGGGGTTTTCTTAAAGATAAAAGCTCATATACTTTAAATGACATAAATGGGATTGAATCGATGAAAATTATTTAAAGTTAAATAAAATTTATTGAAATTCATCTAATTTTATGCCCATGAATTGTTCTAGTTGAATGAGATTGAAAGATAATTGTTAAAATTTAAGTGAATTTTTATGAAATTACATACACTCTCTCCTAAAAAGATTACTATAGTTTAATTTTTGGTCAAACTCTGCAACACTTTAATCACAAATTATGGGAAAGATATATTTAATTTAATGTAAATTTAGATAAATTAAGTTTATTTCAAAACTTAGTTTTGAAATATTAAATTTTTATAATATTTATTTTCTTAAAATTATATTTAGTTTGTGGTCAAAGTAAGCCACAATTTGACTAAAAAAAGTCAAACTGTGATGCCGGGGTAATTTTTTTTAGATGGATGGAGTACAATTTAGTTAAATGGAGTTGAAATTAGTTAATTAGGTAACATTGAATGTAATAAGGTGAAAATGTGAAATTGAGTAAAATTTAGATGAAATTGATTGAATTGGTCTAAACCAATCAAATTTACTCAGAATAGAATTAAGGGTGTTTCGTTTTGGTTAAATCAACTCTATTAATGTTATTTTCATAATTTTATCTTTAAAAATATAAAAGATGAAATTTAGATGCAAGTCAACTTTTAAGGGTAAAATTGTCCCTTTACTATAAAAGAGTATATTTAGACAAGATGAAGGTGGATTAATTGGATATAGCAACATTCTAAAATTAAATGTGACTAGTTATTAAAAAAATATGAAATTGATGGGTTACGAATACATAGAGGTGAAAGAAAAGGATATTTATCAAATGATTATATCCTAAAAAAGAAAGCAAACTTTTTGTGCTAAAAACTTTTTGGTCCATTGACACCATTGTTGCATTTTCAAATAGGAGTTCAGAAGTTCAAACACCAGTAAAATCGGTGACGACTCGTTCTTCTAGACTTACAAACCTTCATCGTGACACCCATACTTCAACGGTTATCATATCCTATATATATGTAAAAGAGAGTTTATTCGTTGTAGTGTTGAGACGTGTCATACGTGACATGACATTATTAAACAGCAACGTGTATAGACCCCAAGCATGTTGTTCGTTCTTCGCAATCCCCGCATCAATGGTAACCGGTACAAAGATCGAGTTGTCATCTTACCCTATGACGCTAAGCTTTTCCAATTACTCACCGGTTACGCATAAATATTGAATTACTCGTCGGTTACGCTTCAATTTTGAACACAGTAAGGGGGGCGCCAGGTCTCCCTGTCTTTCCCGATGTCTTCTTTCCGATTACTTAGAATAGGTTCACCCTACGTTTAACGTGAGTAAATTTAAATTATGTAGTAGGCCTTAATGCATTTACTTGCAATGAATTCGAATTATGTATGTTTGTGTCTCTTAGGTGATTAGGGTTCTCGCAATGTTCTCCACATGTATAAATAAACTCATGAATTGGGTGTTAGTCTGCAATAATATACACTGAGTCTATGAGAACATTGAGTGCCACAAGTGTGATTTTCCCATTGAACATATCTTCACGCATATCTGATTTACTAGGCAAGAAGATGGATGATCACATTGCTATTCAGAAACTTACACGTGAGTCTAACAATTGTGCAATTAAGGCGCAAGTTTCTTGATTGTGGGATGCATACCATTTCAAGAACAAGAAAGATATAATTAGTACTGATATAGTGCTGATTGATGAGGAGGTACTATTTTTAGTATTTGTCTTATGGTTGTTTCTAAATTTGTTTTACCGGTATGTTTAGTTCTTACTCCATAGGGGTCATATATTCATGCTAGCATATGAGGCAACTGGGCACATTTATTTCGTAATTCGATTGTCGAAGGCAGTGTATATTATATTAAGCATTTTGCTGTTGCTGATAACAAGAACCAGTATCGTGTTGTGGGAGACAACAACGCGAAGCTTCAACTGTATGCAAATTCTACCGTTATACAACTTTCTGATGAAACATCGAGGATCCCAATGCATCGCTTTGATTTACTACCATTTGATAAGGTTGACACCAGAATGGGCCAAGATTATATTCTTACAAGTTATGTTTACATAAGAATGAGCTGAAGACATGTTCAAATTTAAATCTACGTTTCAATACACTAATAATTGTTACATTTGTGCAGATGTAGTTGGCCACGTTTGCAACGAGGGCATGATTGAGGAGCAGTGCATTCATGATCGTATGGTGCCTTGCCTTATGCTAGAACTGCAGTATGTGAGGTAAGTGCTACGTAAGAAGTATATATCCTACATATATTGGTGTGTTTTAAGAAAAGTACATTAGATTTGAATACATTATATATATATATATACACATACATACATACATACATACATACATACATACATATATATATATATATAATTTGACATTAAAATTGACAATGATTGAAATGGTTTTTTATTTAATTTATTTCAATATTAGTTTAAAATAAAATAAAGAAATTATACAGACTACATAATTAAAAATTAAATCTAAAGTTCTACTACATAAGTAACATAACAAGATGTAATTTTACTTTATGAATAATAATAATAATAATGATAATAAGATTTATAATAATAACAATATCTTGGGACAGGAGTATTAAGTGCTATGAGCATCCTATAAAAAAAGTGAGGTTTAACAAATATACACATTTTTAATTTATTGAATGTACTTGTGAAAATAATCAAATGCTCCATATGACGGTAAACAAAATACTTGTTTGTTCAAAAAAACAAAATTCTTCTTGGTTTAACATACGGAGTATTTGAATAGATAGACATACTTCTTAAATTATAAAATATTGGTTTTCAAATAAATTAAATAACATTGGATATATTAAAAGAACTACAGTAACGTCTTTTTTGTAAAACTTGAATTCTATAAAACAAAAATGTCAATAAATGAATTATGTGGTTAAAATTCATCCAGAGATGTGAAACAATATGAGCTACTGGCTCGGTTTCGTGGCCACGGAAATCACTATCCCGATTCATATAGCTAGGATGTTCTGTGTAAAATTGATGATTCTTATCCCTAATTTTCTCCCCCTTATCCAATCCCGACCCCAACTCATCCCCCCACCATCTCACAATTTTAGTTGACTTTGAGGTCAAAACTTTAAACTTTAAAGTTAACTATACTTGCGTGGTGAAGTTGACGTAAGTGGAGGATTAGTTAAGGTCAAACATGGGCAAGGGGGTTTACCGAGAGAATTAGAAGAGGTAAAAATTATCAATTTTATGAACTGAGCATCGTAAGAAGACAATGGCTTTCATAATATGAATTTTCAAGAAAAGAAGCCTTTTTGGAACATTTTAGAGTGAATTTAATCTCTGAATTAAAGTTTAATGCAATTTTTAACGCAGCGCAGAATAGCTTTTTACAAGTTGATTACCACTCCCGCTCATGTATTATGCTATTGAACTTCGAGTTTATAGAAAGTTGTTGAAAATAAAAAAAAAATATGTAAATAAAATTCATTTAAAAGAGAAAAATATGATTACCCACATTCATTTCCCTTAATGGAAAGAACAGAGGTGAAAAATCTGTTAAAATATGATTACCCACATATTCAAATCCTTATGGAAAGAATAGAAGTGAAAAGATTGTTTTGGGACAAATAAACAAAGACGGGTGAGAATATTACTTGAGAACAATAGGGAGTACTTTTATCATGGTTGAGTTATTACGGAGTACTAGTAAATTAATGTAAAGTGATAAACAATGCAAGTTTCTATGACACTAATTTTGCAGGTTTACATGACAAACATATAGCAAAACATTATATATTGAAGAAATCTTTAATCTCTCTTTTGAGAGGAGCTTATGTTTAATTAATTTAAAATCTAAGATACATTTGGGGGGGGGGAATTGCAATAAAATAAATAAACTATTGATCTAGCATACATTAAGCATCAACAAGGAAATGATATTGGGAAACCCCAAATGTGGTTTCCATTCCAAGCATTGGTTGATTGACGAGAGCCCTCCCGGAACATATCAAAAGATGTCTCGTTATTATGGGATCAAGAAAGCACTGTTATCACACTCTCACATTTATTTTCCAAAATCTTTACTGCTTCGTTGAACAGCACTTCAGGAGGCAGTCCCCCGGTCGACTCAATTGTAACTACATAAATTGTCAACATGTGGGGTTTAAATAAAAGCATGCCTTCCCTGTGTGTGTGTGTGTGGGGGGTGGGGGGGGTTACCGACAAATGCAAACAACAAGCCAATCTAATCCCAAGCCCGTTGGGGTTTGGGAGGTCAAGAATCAAGATGTACACAACCTTGCCCATGTTAAAAAAACAGAGGTTTCACTTAGACCCTTGATATGATTGGATGCATTTTAATCATAAAATGTAAGAAGCAATGGAGGCTTAACGTGTCATTTTAATCTAGTACATTATTTAACTGAAGGTAAAACATCGTCAAAGATGACTTTTAGCTCAAATGGCACCAACAAATGCATAGAAAAATGAAAATACTTACAAATGAAGTGATCTTTTACACGGCGTAAAGCAACATTTTTTTCCCATCCTTCCTCCCTAATGCACTCCCTGCAAAGGGTACAAGCCCTTGGCCTTGCCACGGTTGCCCTCTTTTTACCTGTATATAATGATAGACAAACACGCATTCTATCCTCTCTCAATAACTGAAGTGGGTCAGAGCCCTAATTGAAAATTTATAACGATGCAGATACTTTTCTTTTGATTTGGTATTTGAATCAATAAAACTCCTTAGCATGATCATCTTACCTTTTCCAATATCTTCTATGTCAAATACTTTTACCGGGCATTTCTTCACAAGTTCTACGGCTTCATTATCTTCAATTTCTCGTAACAATACAATCTTTCAAGTAGGATAAAGATTTGTTAAAGTTAAACACAAAATAGGTTATGACCCATCAGCAAAGATAAACTATGCTACAACTAAACCCATCATGACAATGAGGCGATGAAAAAGAAATAATATGTTTTTTTAAGCACTAAAAGAAACAAGTTGCCCGCACCTCAGGAAGCATCCTGTACCAAGCAGTGGCTACAGGTGACCACTTTGCGTGTGTCTTACCAATGCCTTTTACAGCATGTGCTTCTAGTTCAATTTCCTACAAAACAAAGAAAGTTTTTATTTAGCTTTATTCTTAGCAGCACATGCCCTTAAATGCAGTAGAAAACTTGGATTTATGCATTAGACCTTAGACATTATGGTGGAGATAGCATAGAGGCATGTATAGGATAAATCAAGTGTATGGGTTTTTTTTATTCATAATGCTTGTCTACAGTCTTTATTCTTCAACAGACAAGTGAATAGATACATGAAGTAGATGAAAGTGTACCCTCGAAAAGAGGAACAAATAAAAGTGGCTACCTGCCCAGGCCCAAGCCTAGCAATCGTAATATCATGATGCGTGGGGGCAATTGGATTGTTAGAAAATTCTGGTAGAGACTTTTGACTACAGCTGAATGAAGTATACGTTCTAGGCTTTGATGTTGAACTAGAAGCTGATTTTTCTGTGGCCAGTTCAAACTCACTGCCATCAGGTAACCACTTCAGGTCTCCTGACTTTACTGAAATTCTTCCCATTTTAGCCCTCTCACAGCGAACATGGAGACTAAAAACAATTGTGTTCTTCTCATTTGGTGTGTCATTTTCTGCCAACATAACAACGTATAATATTCATCAATATACTGGTCTTATGTGCAATTATTTAATGATATATTCATATATCATGTAAAAGTTATATACACATACTGATACACACACACACACACACAATACATATATACACACACTAGGAGGAGTATGTGTGTTGCATGTCTGCCAATCAAATAATACAATTAGTTTATAATAAAAATATGTTTTTATGAATATTAACCATGCATTTTAATGACAAAAAAGCATTTATGAAAATTAACTATGCATTTCGATTAAGTTGTCTACTGATATATAATATTTTGAAACTTCTTTATAAACACTGTATTTTTAGTACATTTACAAACCTCCAACTGTTATGATTTGGCCCTTGTCACATTGGTTGTCTGCAAATTTATAATAAAAGAGATTGTTTTTATTTCTAATTAAAATATATTATTAGCTCTATGAATATATTATTTTTATCACCATTAACTCTATAAAAACTATGTGGCGTAATTGAATTTTATAAAAATAATAATTACTTTGAAACTTCTCGTTTTGACATGGCACGGATTTTAATGTAAAGTAAAAATTACTCTGACTTTCCAATTTTGCCCTCTATTTCCCCCTTAGCTCCTGCCGACCTGCCCTCCTATTACCTGCACCCATCACCTCAAACCCACCTGGCCCCAGCCCTCCTTACACCCAATGTAACACAATCAAAAGTAAATCTTGAAAAACTTTGGAATGTCAAATTTAAGATTACGCCTCAAAGAAATCGTTGAAAAGATGAGGATAGAGAAAAGGGGGTGAAGAAATTAAAAACTGATCTAGAAGCTCTGTTCCAAATCGGAAAGCTCCGCAGCAGATCGGAAAGCTCCACCGCACTGCTAAGATTTAAAAGGCTTTTCATATCTGAGAGGTTCATCCCTCCCTTCACCACTACTCTTCACACCACCTTGGGGGTTATCGGAAGAAGAAAAGAAGAAGCGAAAGAAGGAGATGGGGGCAGGAGTATGGCGTAGAAAAAAGAGGAAGAAGAAGAAAGAAGAAGAAGAAGAAGAGAGAGAGAAGGAGAGATGGAGGAGTACAAAAAGTACGGAGTAATGATATTGAGAATTGAAGGAGAGAGAAAAAAGTGAGGGTAAAAGAGTAACTTTAGATGTATTTCCTTTCCATTTTAGGAAACAGGAAGAATCAAATGGGACGGCCCGGAAAGGAAAGTGAGAAGAAAGATATGGGACGGAGGGGTATTGTGTTACTACACTCTCAAACTAAAATAAAAATGTTAAAATATTAAACTAATTAAGCTAACTTTAATTAAGCTACCAATAATTTAACAGCATTCACTCACATATCTCAAAAATTGGATCACATTTTATATTCAAGTTGATGTTTCTCTATTCACATTTTAAAGTAATAATACAACTTTTTTCTATTAATTTTTATTTATATAAGACATGATAATAAATTTAATAATTTGTATTTATTATTGTTTTTATGTTGTGAACATGTGTTGCAGGTCCAGATCCCACCTAGGTTGTTGTTGTTGTACATGTGTTGCACCTCAAAAACAACTAATTTTAATGAAATAATTACTAAATAGAAAATCCTAATAATATCATTTCTCATTTGTTTTATACGGAGTAATTAGATTTCACGCCTATTTTGAACTCAACTCGCATTAAAACCTTCTTTTCATCAACAAAGTGATATTAAGGACTCATTAATTACACAAAAAGCTACTAACACATAGATATTATTCAACATTTATCATTTTTTTTCTTTTTAGATGGATAGCACTACATGTCCCGAATTCAAGGTGACACTTTAAATTTAGATGTCAAACTTCATCAAATTTTACCGTTAATTGTTCATGCAGCATAAAGTGCTATAATATTAAATTACACTTGATAAATTTATTTTGACATAAATTTTCAACTAATAAATTTTCACATGAATAATTAATGGTAAAATCTGATGTAGTTACATTGGAAAAGTGAAACTATCGCCTCTATTTTGGGACAGAGTGATTTTTATCATCATCTAATTAAATTATTCACAATCACCCTATTGTTTGATATCTTTGCCCCAAAAGGAAGTTCACATTCATTCACATATTGACAAGGTCAAACTATATTTTCTTTTCTTACATATTTTCATGGATCCTTTGTTAAAAGAAAGTCCTAAGGATGAACTTGAATGGACATCATCTTTTAGGGTGAAAATATATCTAAAAATATTTCAAATTCAAGGGGTGCTTTTAAAGAACATATACAAAAGTAGAACTGGCATCAAATTTTTTAAGGTTTAAACAACAATTATAGAATCTCACGTCGTGGGGTCGAGAGGAAGGGTGTACATAGACCTTACCCCTGCTGAAAAGTAAAGAGGCATTTCCAAGAGATTTTTGGCTCAAAATACAGGAGCACAATAATAAAGGATAGAAGCATGAACAAAGTATGAAACACAAACAAAACAAGCAGATGTGCATAAATACAAACTCACACACAAAAGCACACATGCAGAAACTACAAACTAAGGCCCAAAGGACTATCCTACAATCCTAATCCTAGCCGTCCAAACAATATTATATAAGGTCATATCCTCGTTAAGATTCTGAACTCGAAGGTCATGTCCAAACACCATCTTCCAACTCTTTTCAATTTACCGCAACCCCTCCTCACGCATCTCACAGTTTACCCTCCACAGAGACTACTCCCACCCTCCCTCAAATTTTTCTATTCTAGATCGTATCCATCCTTGTATGACAAAAATCCATATCAGCATCATCATATCTACCACTCGTAGCCTTCGACTATGAGTAATGAGTATCCTTCAGCGCCCTGCTCTTCACTCCATAAAACATAGTCAATCGTATCACTGCCCAACATACCTTCCCTTTTCAGTTCGCCAATATCCTTTTGTCACAAAGGACACCTTAAGCAAGCTTCCAATTTGCCCAAACGGCACCAATTCGATGGACAATACCCCATCTACCTCCCCATCAGCATGAATGATAGATTTAAGGTACCAAAACTTGTCCCTTCTAAGAACCTTCTAAGCAATGGATGTGAATACATCCTCACTTACACTTATGACTGACTCGCCTAACCACTAAAGCAACATTCCACACTTAGGTCTGTCTCCACACTTCCAACCTATCATCGAGTCCAACTTGTGTCACGTCAATCAGAATAATGTTATCGGGAAACAACGTGCACCAAGGCACCTCCCCTTGAATATTAACATGTCAAAACATTTATCATCAAAGCAAAAAGGAACAAACTAAGGGCAGACCCCTGATCTAACTGCATGCCCCCATCTAGCATCTCCACAAGGTGTGGTGAAGGTCACCTCCTAGCTACCTCACCCTGATCCTCGCTCCATCATGCATGTCTTTAACAACATGAATGTAAGCAGCCAGCAACCCTTGTAGTCTTTACTCTCATAAGATCTCCCTAAGATTTCTATCATACACCTTCTCCAAGTCAATAAACACCATGTGTAGGTCTCTCTTCTTGTCTCTATATTACTCCATGTCTCAACAAGAAATGAATGGCCTCAATAGTTGTGACTGGCCAAGCATGAAACTAAATTGATTCTCAAAAAATGCTCACTTCTTTTCTCAATGAAGTCTGAATATTTTGTTCCCTTACCTTCATGATGTGATGGTGTGACTAAGAAATTTAATATCTCTATGATTATCACAACTCTGGATACCAGATCTACCCTTATACATGCAACGAGATCACCACTCACCAGGCATCTTAATTTGTCCTAAAATGATATTAAACTTGGTAATCCACACCAACCCATATGTGCCAACAATCCTCCATAATTCTACAGGGATCTCGTCGAGACCCACAACCCCCCCCCCCCCTCATGCTACGAATTGACCTCGGTACCTCTTAATGTACCATCACCTAAAATTTTGTTGACGCTCAATCTGCCCCAACTTTTTAAAAGTGTAAAATTGTATCTAAAAAAAATTAAAATTAAGGGTATTTTAAAGGACACGGCCAAAAGAATGGGTGAACTTGGAAGGACATCATTCTGTTATTAGTTTTCAAAGTGAATATATTAGAGAAACACCTGTGAACCCTTGTATATTTAGATGATGGTATAGACATATACACACATACACTTCACTCATGATAAAGCATTGAAAATAGGAAACAAAACATGCACGGTACAACATAGGGAAAATGAACAAATAGACAAAGAGAAAATAATAGTCAAGGGAACAAAAAATAAAAAGTTAGATAAAAAAGAGAAACAAGTTACGAGGAGAGTATGATTAGAAAGCGACCTGACATATACTCAAATAGCCTGGGATCAACTTTAAGAGGGATGAGACCAAGTCTATGTGAAAGCACCTCATCTTGGACTATAGATGTATTGTTTGCAATTAAAACCTTCTCAATAGCCATAGTTGGAACCTGCATTAAATCAACCAGATGTACAAAATTTTAGCATGCAAAGACCACATCTACACCTATGCACAACAAAAGTGAGCAAAGAAACTGATAGATACAAGCACAGCTCACATCCTTTTGTGAATCTTTCACAAACTTTGATGAATCTTATACAATAAACGGAAACAAAAATGAAAAAAAAGAGCTAGTAGTTCTTAAACCATTGCTCTAGGCTGACATTGCAAAAGAAAATCAACTTGAATTGAGTGATAGTTAATAGATATTTAAAAGGAAACAAAACATGAAAAAAAGAGCTAGATATTTAATAGATACTTATATTCCTCACAATCTTAGTCTTTTGTGTCCCACTATTTTGGTCTCCATCTGCTTCAGACCACATTGCTAGTGTATTTTTTTCTTCAATACCTACTATCATTCAAACCTCACTTGTGGGAATACATTTTGTTGTTCCCTATCTACTACCACCCACGTCAAACAAAGCATGCAATGAAAGGATTATGTTGGAGTACTTAAGTCAAATCACACAAAAAGACTTGATCCAACGAATTAGCTAGTTTAATTCAGGAATTTTAAAGCCAACCAAACATTAGATAAATGGCATTCTTATCTACATAGTACTTCCTTTGTCCCTAAAAAGGGGAAACTGACACAGTTATTAAGAAATTTGATATTGTGTAGTTAAAATTTATGTAAAGGATAAAAAGGAAACACATAATTCTGCACTTGAAAGCAGTGGAATCTTATTTTGGGACAAACAAATAGAAAACGTGGACACATTTTAGTGGTAGTGAACTATTGAGAGTATGCGATTGTGTAAATCTTGACCTTATACGAAGTTGGGATTATAAAAGAGAAAGTGAACCAATTGACCCTTAATCTTGTTTTCAAACAAAACTAATAATACAATAACAACAACATTACCCCAGTGCCTCAAAAGGCTCCCGCTAATTGCAGGGTAAGGGGGTCGGATGTACGCAGTGTGGCCCTTTGTTTAAAACATAGAGCAGCTGCTTCCGTATGACCCGTGATGAGCATCGAAAGTTGCACTGACTAGCTGCTACTTCACTATTGAAAAAGAAGCCCAGGCAGTTTGAAGAGTCAACTTGTTTTATTCCATCATACCCCAAAGCCAAAAAATAGTGGATCTTTGGCTCCCTCGGAGATGATAGAAGAAAATACAAACCAATAATAGCAGCAAAAAAATAGTATGCAAAGAAAATTGATACTTTGTTCAGTATAGTGCAACAGGAAATATAAATAAAAAGTTTCGCAAATCCAACACTTTTTTAGAACAAATAAATGTTCAAAGCTGACCTCGGCAATGAGTATTCTACGGAATGCATTGGCAACAGCTGCATCAATTCCAACCATGTCAAACTCCATCGTATCGTCATCGAGACTCATAATTTCGACTCTAAAATTGTTCCGAAACTTTTCCGATGGCACGCTGTTATCAACGCCCATTGACGCAAAGGCACCCCCATACTTGATTTTCTCTGTCTGCAATTTGAATTCAACTACAGTTCAAAAAACATGATGCATAAACTCCTAATAACCAAAAACCTTAGCATTTAACATCAAACTTTAAAGAAGAAAAAAACTACCAAAAGAACATCCATACATTAGTGGGAGCTATATAAGTGCAGAGAACACGAGTCCTCTGGAGCTCAATATGAGAAGGTAACTGCCCCTGTGGCACGTCTGGCAAATCCCACACTGAACATTTGGCGAGGATCGTTGGCGCGGTCTCGGTCTCCGACTCGGAAGAAGAGGAGGACATTGGGCAGTGGCGGATCCAGGAAATATTTTCACTGGGGGCATTAAGCAAATTAAAGGGACAAAAATAAGGTTAAAAAACAAGGGACAATTAAATAGATAGAACATGCCTCTTACAAATGTTCTCTTCGAGTTTTCATCTTTTAAAGGCAATCAATTATATCTTCGTTTGTAATATTAAAAAAATGTTTCCTCTTCCACAGCACAAATCACACAAGCATTCAGAAACTCATCCCCCATTCGATTCCGCAAATTGATTTCACATGTTTCATTGTAGAAAAAAATTTCTCTAAAATCTTTTTTCTTTCTGAAGGATCTCTTAGAAGATCACTTAAATCTATTTCTTTTCTGAAGGATCTCTTAGAAGATCATTTAAATCTATTTCTTTAGCTAGTGAAGCACTCAGGTGTTGAGGGGGTCTTCTGTTTAAAAAACTTTTCCATCATTTAAAAAATAAAATGAAATAAACTTTTTTTACAAAATCTATGACCAAAAACTAGAACAAATTATTCATATGTTTTAAAATACTTATTATTAATACTCCCTTCGTCCCAAAATATAAGCAATAGTTACTATTTCGGCCTCTCGATGACTTGTGTTTGTTGATTCATTTTGGTTGATCATTTGATAAAATAAGATATTCTTGTCGCATCTTATTTAGTAGAACTTTTGATCTATTTTTTAATGATGTAATTTTAAAAAAGATGATATTTTACACGTTATTTAGAATGTGGCTTACAATTTGGGAGGGAGGGAGTAATAATCAACATAATAAACAAGACAATAGCAGCCTTCGAAACCAGGACAACAATTCTCAATTCTCAGTTTCTCCTTAAAGACCAGATAGGGGTGTAAACGGATAATATCCATTTCAAATGTATTATAACCATATCCGAATCCGATTAGCAAAACCGTTATCTAAATCCCCATCCGTATCCGACGGATGTCTACAATACTAAATCTGAATCCGAATACGGAGGATACGGATGCGGATTTGGATATATCTGCATCCGATGAAGCATCTGAATACTAAAAAAATCTGAGTCCAAATTTGTATCTAGATTCGATAAAACATCCGATTCGCAAGGAAAAACCGTATCCGAAAATAACTTCTGTCCAAATATCCGAATATGTAATCTGAAAATCTAAAATCAACCAAGCACGACCAAAAACTTTAAATCCTTAACCAAGTTTCTGAACAAAAATACAGTCAAATTCGAATGCACTTCCAAAGAAAACAGTCAAACGAAATGCATTTAATTTTTCGAATTCAGTAACAAAAAAAAGAAAAAAATCAAAGGAACAATCAACCTCTTTACAAAGCTAAAAGGAAAAAAATTCCACCTAAAAATCTGGGCCTAATCACGAAAATATGGTCCTGTTTTTTTAGTGAATTACTCCGTGTAAAATCTTTTGGGCCACTTTGAGTTTAATAAATACATAAATAATTTTACTTTAAATATACTCAACTACCACAATAAATTAAAAAGAAACTGTTAAAATTGCAAGTCGCACAACTGGGGATAAAAATGTGTTTTCCTTTTTATAATAATAATAATAATAATAATAATAATAACAATTATTCTTAAAGTCACTGTAATAAAAATAAAAAATTGAGGCGTTGATTCTAAAATAAAAGGGAAAAAAGGAAAATTGAGAGTTCGTACCTAAAATCAAAGAAGAGAGTAGATGATGATGCTAAGGATTGAGGTGATGCGCTGGAGAATGTAGAAGATGAAGCGCTGAGCTGAAGCCGCAGACTCGCTGAGGAAGACGCTGGCCGCTGGGTCGGTTGGTCGCTGATCCGGAAAAAAAAGTATGAGGTACTTAGGTTTAATCAATACTCTAAGTCTCAATAGTGGTCCATAATCAAAGAATCAAGATTTGGTTTTGGGCCTTAGTGGGCTGGGTAGAAATTAGAAAACTAGGAGTATATATATAAAAATATTAATTACTCTAAACTACGGATAATTTTTTTAACTACGGATTATTTTTTATTACTTATATTTGATATAACGGATTGAGTAATCGAACATGCGAATATATAAACGGATGTATACACAGATCAGATTTTAAACGGATCGGATCCATAATTACCAAATCCGCATCATAATTTGAATAAATAAATATTATAAAAAATTGATGGAAGCGTCTAAAATGACACCAGTTACTTATACATCAGTTGCTTACACCAATTCGTTTGGGTACCTATGGTGCTCCGTTTGTAAAAACGACGGTTCCTAACCCCCCTAACCCTCCCCCTAAACCCCCCACCTCAGCCCCAGGGAACGGGGGGGGGGGACCCCAGCCCCCCCTCCCTGGGCAGTGTACTTCCAGGGTAGGGAGGGGGCGGGAGGGGGAGCTGGGGTGGGAGGCAAGGGTGGGGCTGGGGTGGGGGGTTTAGGGGGAGGGTTAGGGGGGTTAGGAATCGTCGTTTTTACAAACGGAACACCGTAGGTACCCTAAACGAACTGGTGTAAGCAAATGACACCAGTAGCACTGGTGTCATTTTAGACTTACCGAAAATTGATATATCAAAACTATACCCTAAGATGAACCCAAGTATATTGAATTTCTATTGAAATTAAATATACTTTTTCATAATTTGTAATATAAGATATTACTTCCCTTTTAAATGAATATTTACTTAAGTTATTCAATTTTAGAGTCAATTTAATTGAACAAAATTAATACCCCTAAAATTTTATCACAAAATGTTCGAATACAATTCAAGGAATGTGTCATCAACCACCCACATTCAAGTCTAAATACGTATATGCTAGAAGAGAATCAATATTGTGACAAAAAGGGATAGAATCAATATTTGAACTTCATCTTCCCGTCCAACTTGACGAGAGATGAACGAGATTAACTAGAGATGCAAGAGAAAGGAGAAAAAGAAGTACTTCAATAAAAAAACATAAACGGGTGCGTATTTTTATGATTATTATTTTATTTTAGCAATTCAACATGCATCTGTAAAAAACGTAAACATCGTTCGTAGGTCTCATAAAATTTATGTGTAGTTAAAATGTAAAATTGTTGCTTTAGACTTTTTATGCATCCGTATTTTTTATATGGTATCCTAATGCAAGTGTGTTAGAATTTTTGTAATAACCACATCAAACAAAATATGTTGGTGACTATAATTTCGCCATGGTTTTGGAGTCAACAAACAATATCGATATGCCGTCTGCAATATGTGTCAACAGGAACTAAAGAGTTATTTTATTGAGAGTATTTTTAATGGTCCAACAAGGATGTACAAGCTCTCAAAGTTTGAACACATTTAACAATGATATACATAACACATTCAAGGATGCATGCAAAGGATTGAGGTTACTAGCAATGATTAAAATTTAATTGAAGGCAAAATGATTTGAGAGTGAGCTAAAAAAAATTCTTTGTCATGTTATTACTGACAAATATCATAAGTCGCTCTCAAGTTGTTTGGGAAAAATCATAAAAGCACTTAGTTGACGAGGTTTATTTGATTGAAGAAGAATATTGCATTATCAATGTGTTTTTATAAAAAGATAATTTTATGTTTTAATAAATATCAATATGAAATGCATGGTTGATGCATATACAAAACTCTAGAATTGAGATAGGAGTATAATAAATTTAGTCATATTTTAACTATTTTTTTGCATAACTTATTTCCCTAGAAAATGTAAAGAATTTGTGATTGACTAAAACTGAAAGATGCCTAATTCAAATGGACGACCTTTAAAGGAGTTTAGTGGTATGTCATTGTGAGATGACAACCCACTTAACAAACTTCAAAATAATTTCTTAGTAGAGGAGTTGAACTATGACAAAAAAAAGTTATTATCTGATTTTAGCTGATATTGATCTATAATGAATGAAGACTCGTGGAAGATAGGGAAAAATTCTAAATTAGAAGTAAAAAATTGAAAATATAACAAAATAAGAGTTTTATTTTTAATTCATAAAATATAAGTTAAAATGCATTTACGGTACTCATCATTATGGTCAATTTGTAAATTGCAGGTGCTACAGTCAAATCTTTAATATTATGGTCAATTTGTAAAGTTTTTATGTTGATCAAAAATATGCGACTACATTCATCTACCTCTTCTTGCGCATATAGAGACACACATGCCTTTTTTTATTGGAAAACTAAATTCAAAGATGGAAAACTATGTGAGGTGATTGATAGCGTTATTGATGTTGAGATCCCCCCCAAATTTTTTATTTTGAAAAAGTTATCATATCAAGAGTATAATACATTGACTTCACTTATCCAGACATATGAGAGAATATGAACATTTATTCTTTTTTTAAGGACTGGACACTATTAGCTCAACTCTCGAAGTAGTTGAAATGATAAATAAATTTGTCAAATCTTTCATTTCCGATGATGAAAAGGAGTACTTGAATTCTGATTCTTCATGCGAAGAAAATGGAGATGTAGGTGTTGATGACGCTTTAATAACAATTGACTTTTAAATGAAATCAAATATTCGAAAATCTCAAGCCATAAAATAATTTTGAAAAAAAGGGCTACCAATTATATATGCAATTGGGAAACATTGACCAGATATCTGAATTGCGTGATGAGACAAGACTAATCGTTGAAGAGATACAAAATAATGTTATCGGTGCAATTGTGGTTTCAAAAAAACGAGTTGAGAAAAAGGTTTACATAGCTAGAATGAATTTCGTACCATCTGATCCACGATTACTCTTAAAGTTCTAGAATGGACAATTCCTAGTGTTTTATGGTTTGTTATGACTCTTAACAAAGTCAAAGTCAAACATTATCGTTTGTTGGATTATTTTTAATCAATTCGGTGCTCACTTATGATCAACTTTGCGGTGATGTTTCACGAGTAAAAAGAAAGACAAAATTAAAAATATTAGTTCTAGATGATAACAAAAATCCTTGCAACTACACAAAAATTGTTGTATACCCAAAAGTCTTTCAAAAATATCCCTCCGTCCCCCTAAGATGTTCTCATTTTGACTTTTGGTGATTTTTAAGGAAAGTTGAAAAAAGGTGAAAGTTTACCATAATATCCTTAATGAAAAATGGGTGGAGTGTATTAAATGAGGTGGGTGAGGCGTAATAAATAAAGTAAGTGAGAGTAGTTGTGATATTTTAATTGTTAAAAAATGAAATGAGAAGATCTATTGTGGACATAGAAAAAGGGCTATTGAGAAGATGTATGGGGGACGGATGGAGTATTTAGAAAATATTTGAGATGTTCACTTTTGAACTTGTATATAAGAATTTTCATTACCACATATTTAATACGGAGTACTAAATTATTTTTTTTATTTTGTTTTTAATGTTTTAGCAATAAAAAACATATTATACATTTTTTGTAAATTCAATTTAAAACATTGCATTGAAGTTAATTTTCAGAAGTGTCAAAAATTTTGTCCAACCCTGTGCGTTGCACGGATTAAAATACTAGTGTATACTCGCTCCGTCCCTAAATATTTGTCATACTTGTATTCCCGAGGCAAAATATCAAGTTTTTTCAATTCATTTTATTTACATATTGGTATAGAAATAAAAACTAAAATTTCCATATCAAAAAACTACATGAAAAGTTATTCGAAATAAGAGATGTCAAAAATATTTTATTTTATCAAATAACCAATGAAAACATAGAAACAAACAAAAGTTCTCGCAACTGCTGAAAAAACAAATGTGGCAAATATTTTGGGACGGAGGGAGTATGTAAAAGAGAGTTCAAGAGTTGTAGTGTTTACATGTGTCCTGTGAGGTGGCCAATATTAATTTACCTGACAGCCACGCATGCATACTCCAAACTCTTAATATGTGTCTGCCAAATGTACCAATATTAATTCTTTTATAAATCCTTCACTTTCCAACAATAAATAACAATTCCTTTATAAACTTTTTATAAAGTTTTCACTATCTAACTATTTTAGAAATATTTTTCATTGTTTTAACATATTTTTTTAAATATGCACGACTATTTTATATTTTAAAAAAATTTATATAAGATTTATATATTAAACAAATGTTGCTTATAATTTTAAAATTATCCATCATCTCAAGAACTATTATATATAAATTTTTTCACACATGCATCTTGATTATATATTCTTTCAATTAACTAAACAAAGTGAAAGGTTAATTAAAGAATTACAATTGGCACATGATAGATATACATTCTCTAATGATGTGTCAATACTTAATTGATCTATTTGACATTTTAATTTAAATTTTTATCAACTCAAAAAATTTTCAAAATGGTATTATAATTTTTTTATCATATATAAATATTTATTAAATGCATTATTTATTTCAATTTTTTTATCATATTACATACTAAGAAGTATATTTTAGTATACAATGTATATTTTTTGATAAACTAAACAAAGCAAAGTTAGAGTTGAAAGATGATACATGTTGCATGTCATATACTCCCTCCGTCGTAGAATTTTCTTACGAGCTTCACTTTGCACAATTTTTAATAAATTGAAATGTTGGTGGTTGTTGTTTGTGTAAAGGAAAGAGAATTGATATCAACCATAATTATATATTTTATTTCAAAATGTTTTATATGTAACATTATTTAATTTCTAATGTATTATTTCAACAAATTAAATCAAATAATTTTTTTCTGTTGAATGATAACACATGACATATAGGTCAGATACCACTTATGCAATTTTCATTACCTGGTTGATTTCTTTGGCATTTTTATTTTATTTTTCACTAATTAAATCAAATCTCATTATTGTTTCATTTTACAACCCTTTTGAAATATGTTACCTCTTCCCCCCAAAAAAGTTATCACAATTTGGTATTTTTGGTAAAGTTGCTCTATACTTTGATAACAAAGTGTGTAAAAAGTATATTATATTTAGTTATATTATAAATTTAGGAAAAATATGTCCATTTAAAATATTGTTTTCATATATCAAATTTTTGTGACTTGCATTTAATTATTGAAAATTATATTTAATTTGTAATCAAAGTGTTACATAATTTTACTAAAAAAAAATCAAACTATGATAATCTTTTTGAAATGGATGGAGTATAAAGATTAAATAATCTTAATATATTTTATTCAATGTTTGTATTCATTTTAGAGTTCATGTGTTACACTATTTAAAAATATATTTTATAAATATTAATAATCCTTTAAAGAATAAAGAGTGTTGTGATTTTTAATAAACTATTCATCATTTTCCTTTTTATTACATCTTAAAATAAAGATTTATATAAATTTTAATGCATGTACATCAATATTATATTAAAATTAAAACTTTTCTCTCAAAAGAGATACGAAGTATCTTATAGTTAGATAATATCAATTAAACACATTATATATATATATATATATCATTATTAAATAATTTGAAATGATTACTATTTAAATTTTTTATATGTTAAAACTTAGAATATATGTAAGCCCGTGCGAAACACGGGGTTGATACTAGTATTAATTATACTACATTACCTTTTTACTTCAGGTCGTGTTACTGACCCACCATGGATGTTCTCATATACTTTACACACACACAGACGATAATCGTATATATCGTGCGGCATAGATGATTATCTTTAGTGCAAAGCATGAGGGTGTTGGGATTTTAAGCGCGTAAGATACCGAAAAATATTGAGAATACCAGAAAAATGAGATAACGAACACAAGAAGAATATATGAGAGAAAAAATATATTTCCACTATTTCAGAACAATATACAAAAAACTCTCTCCTGTTCACAAGGCTAAATTCCAGACACTCATAAACATATCTTTCCACATCCAATGCCCGGATGTATTTTTCTGAGTAACTAAACCAGTTACTGCCTANACACTCACCAAGACCCCTTAGATTTCCCGGTGGTATTCTTGTGTAGAACCCTCTCCTCTCTCTACCTTGGTGTGCAAAACACACACTCATTCAATGGTTGCCTTGCTTTTATAACCAAAGAAATACTCCGTATGTGCATGCATGGATTGAGAAGAAGTCAAGAAGAAAGTATCCACTTTGATATGATAATATGCACCAAATCACTTTGTTGTCCAAGTCACGTTTCTTTCATTCATTTGAGTTCTCTTTCTTCTTCTTTTTTCTTTTCTTTTGATTATTAATTAATTTCCCAACAAACTCCACCTTGATTAAATAATCAAAAAATTTTGTAGCTCCACCTCATTTTTCACGTGAAATCATCGCTACCCTCAAAGAAAAAATATCCTTGGCGCCATCTCAGTCTGCTCCACCGAGATCACCGCTGCCAACCTCAAAGAAGAAGAAAAATCACCGTGACTCCACCTTGGTCCAACCACCAAGATCACTACCACCTTGAAAACATTTTCTTGTGACCCCATCTTGCTCAAACCCGCAAGATCTCTGTCACCCTTTATTGCTTTTGTAGCTCCACCTTGTTCAATACCACAAGGTCCTTGCCGCTTCTAGTTTTCATTGTACCCGTGACCCCATCTCAACCAATTCCGTCAAGATCCCTGCCACTACCTTAGCTTCCTAGAGTTTTCACCCTCTACCCCGAGCTAAAAAAATGACAACTCACCTTTGTGAACACTCTCTCAGACCACCCCTCTAGCAGTTAGCTTCTTTCGATCTGCCCATCTTGCACAGCCGCAGCAACACCTGCGGAACACGCCGCCTGACCTCTTCTTGCCGGGAAGACTTTCGACACAAGACATAAACCGCAGTTTTCCACTCCGCTAGACCACTGATCTCCTCAAGACATGTTCCCGCACCATACTTCACAAAGCCAGCATGCCGCTTCGTACCCGGTCCTCATGTCATCCACTTTGTTCTTGAAGTCCCATGGTCGCTTTCTGGCCAAAATCGACCAGTCCCCGGGTTCTCAAAAATTTCTCCTTTTACCGCTTACAAATCCCTCTTGCCCAGCGCAACCAAGCTCTGATACCAATTATTGGGATTTTAAGCGCGTAAGATACCGAAAAATATTGAGAATACCAGAAAAATGAGATAACGAACACAAGAAGAATATATGAGAGAAAAAATATATTTCCACTATTTCAGAACAATATACAAAAAACTCTCTCCTGTTCACAAGGCTAAATTCCAGACACTCATAAACATATCTTTCCACATCCAATGCCCGGATGTATTTTTCTGAGTAACTAAACCAGTTACTGCCTACACTTACCCACACTCACCA